TCAGTGATCCTTTTCTTTCAAGTTGACACGTACAGTTAACACCAACTCAGGACTCGGGTCTTCTAGGCCTCCTGGTATAGTTCTCCTTGTCCTCGCTTGTTATGTTATAGAAGCTCAAATAGGAAGACAAAACCCAGCCAAGAGCAGTGTGAAGGGAGGCTCTGTGTTGGTTCCAGTCCAGAAATGCCTTCTGGTTTCCCTGCAGCAGGTCCGGCCTCAGCTTCCTCCTGTTTATACTGCCCATCCAAACGGTGTGACTTCAAGCTTCAGCTTTCACAGAATCTGTCCAGCGCCACAATGGAAAATCACATCTAAAGACCTAATTCAGAGAATGACGTCCAAGGAAAAACTCCGGTTTCTTCTCTCCCTTACAACTGTTTTCTGTATTGTCTTAGGTTATTAGCCTCCTCGAGCTTTTGAGCAAGGTGGTGAAAATTTAGTTGCTTATATCTTGAGATGTTTTCAGGGTGGCAGGTGGTAGCGGGGAGGGTGGAGGGGAATGTGGACAGGGAGGTTCCTGCAAAGGGAACAAACAAAAACAGGGAGGGCTCGGCCGGCGTGGCTCAGTGGTTGAGGTCATAGTTTGATTTCAAGTCAGGGCACTTCTGGTTGCGGGCTCGATCCCCATTGGGGGCTGCAGGAAGCAGCCGATCAATGATTCCCTCTCATCATTGATGTTTCTATCTGAAACATTGATGTTTCTCTCGCCTCTCCCTTCCTCTCTGAAATCAATAAATATATATTTAAAAAAAACAACAGGGTGGGAGTTGGGATGATGAAAGGAGGATGGGGTGGAAGCTGACTTTGCCATCTGCTTGGGAGGGTCTCCAGACCTGAGCTGCTGGCTGAGGCCCCCTGTCCTGAGAGCAGGAAAACATCATGTCAGGCGGGGACTCTGCCTTGGCCATTCTGAGTGACCATTCTGGAACCACCAATGGAGGTTTCTCAAGCTTCACTGTTGATTCTCCTTGCCCCTTTCTAGAATCTTCTTTCCTGCTTCTGCTGCCCATGGAGCATTTGGTGTAGTCTCTCCTCCCTACGGTGATTTTCCTGGTGCAGTAATTAACAGAGTGAGCTCCGAAGTTAGAGAGTTCAAATCCAGCTGTGACAGCTGCAGGTTATGTCCCCTCTCTCTCCTTTCCGCTGTCCCGTGATGTTGCTGTGAGGATTACCCAGAAACACACGGGACACACAGTATGATGGCTGTAGTGCTATAACGCTGTGAGCGGCCACTCCTGTGTGTCCTGGGAATACGGGCAGCTCTTGGGGCCGAATCTGCCCCATCCTTATTCTTCACGTCCCTCTTTCATTTTCTTCTGCCACTTACCAACTGCCGACCTTGGGCAGGTAACGAAATGTTCTATGCTTCACTTTCCACATCTGTCTGTCTGATCAGGGAAACAATGGTACCTGTCTCCAAGGGTTGTGATGCTGGTTAAAAGGAAGCCATTTAATGAATGTTCTAAATGAAGCCCTAAATATTTCAGGACAGTGCCTGGCATGGAGAAGGAACTCACGAATGGTGATTTATATTTGAGTGCAAACTGTTTTGTTTTTAACTGCGCCATGGCCACCATCTTGATCTGTCCAGGAGTGATCTCAGTGTAGGTAACAGATGAGAGAGATTCCTGGGGCAGGGAGACTCCTTCGGACATTGAACCTGTCAGAATTGTAGACCTGGTAAGCCACTAGCTGGGGTCACAGCTTTGACCCCAGCTACATAGTTGTGTAGTTAATAAGATGTGATTTTAATTTGCATTTCCTTGATAGCTAATGATGTTGAAGACGAGGTAGTGAAGACGAGGCCATGATCATGGAACACAAATACTCACATCGAGGGATATTTTAAGCAAATCTCTGTAAGTCCTTTAGAACATTTTTTACTTACATAGAGTTCATTCATATTTAATCCATTAAAAAACACTAGTTATGCCCAGCCAGTGTGGCTCAGTGGTAGAGCATCGACTTATGAACCAGGAGGTCATTGTTCAATTCCTGGTCAGGGCACATGCCCAGTTGTGGGCTCAACCTAGTGTGGGGCATTCAGGAGGCAGCCGATCAATGTTTCTCTCTCATCATTGATGTTTCTATCCCTCTCTTCCTCTCTTAAATTAATAAAAATATATTTGGAAAGAAAACTTAGTTATGAGTGATATTGTTATGTAAATAATATCATTTGCAACACAGTGGGTGCCCCATTGTTTAAAAATCCCACTTTTAAAAAGAAAAAGAGTATATATAATAGTCTACATATATATATATATACATATGCAGTTAGCATATGCATGGAAAAATTTGGGGGAGACTATATTCCAAACTGTTAATACTGGCATTTTCAGTGGATTGGGGAAAGGAATTACAAAAGACTATTTTATGCAATATATATTTCTAAATTGTCAGAACTTTAAAGTCATAATAACATGTTACTTCTTTATTACATCAGAATAGTTTAAATATGCATATTCCATTTATTAATATGTAAAAAGGGAGTGTGCATGCTCTCTTTAAAAGTATTGTCTTGTATGTGAAACAGACATAAGTATCTGGCCTGGAAGTTTAACTCCATCTCATCCACTCTACCCCAGGCATGCTGCAAACCTGCGGTGAGCGCAGACTGAGGCAGAAATATAGGAGTGGGAACCAGCTGACTGTGGTTGGGGCCCTCTGTAGTAGATGCCCTTGCTCTGCGCACTGGCTTCCTGTTTGCAGCTGCTCTGCTCATCAGGAGTCCACGTGACTTCACACTCTCCTCAGCTTTGATTCTCTCTGACTTTCCAGCTTCTACCTCTGAACGTGTGTCTTTTAGGGATCTTTGGCCTCTAAACTTCCACTTCTTGATCATGGTTTGACTTTCTTTGGTGTTCTGGCCCTGATTTCTTCATTATCTCTCCTGGCCCAGGCTTTCAGGCACCAGCAGCACCTCGCTAGCTCTGTGCAAGCAGCCCTGCCTGGCACAGCCTATGACACAACTCTATGGAAATTTCTAGATAGCTAAGAGGGGAGCTCTGAAGAAGTTAGTAATGTGACTTGGAAACTCCCTTCTGATTAAGATGACAACCGCAGTATTTGCAGGCAGACCAGTGATCTGTGGCCTTGGTTTTCATAGATTCGTCCAAGTTGTTGCACGTATGGACAGTCTGTACCTTTTTTATTGCTGAGTAGTATTCCAAGGTATAGATGTATCACTGTTTAACCATTCACCTGTTGAAGGATTATTGGGCTGTCCATTTTTTGACTATTACTACACATTGTTGTATAGGCTTTTGTGTGAACATAAATATCCGTTTCCTTGGGATAAATACCCAATAGTGCAATTGCTGAGTCATTAGGTAATTGCATGTTTAGATTTGTAAAAAAAAACAAAGAAATGTGTTCCAGAGTGGCTGTACCATTTCACTTTCCCTTCCACAATGTATGTGGTCTTGTGTTCTGCATCCTCTCCAGCACTTGGTGTTGTCACAATTTTTAGTTGTGTAGCATTAAGATGTGATTTTACTTTGCATTTCCCTGATGGCTAATGATGTTGAACATCTTTTCATGTGTTTTATTTGCCATACTTTCATAATTTCACTTATCTATGGCCAACCATGGTCTGAAAATATTAAATGGAAAGTTACAGAAAAGAATTTGTAAGTTTTAAATTGCATGCCGTTCTGAGTAGCGTGAGGAAATCTTGTGTTGTCTTGCTCTGTTACACTTGGGACGTGAATCATTGCTTTGTCCAGTGTCTCCACGCTGTATATGCTGCCTGTCCGTTAGTCATTTAGTAGCCAACAGGGTTATCAGATCAACTGTCACAGTATTGCATTGCTGGTGTTCAACTAACCCTTGATAATGACCCCAAAGGGCATGAGTAGTGGTGCTGGCAATTTGGATGTGCCAAAGAAGCCATTCAGTGCTTAAAGAGTGAAAAGTTGAAAGTTCTTGACTTAATAAGGGAGGAGAAAAAAATCGAATGCTGAGGTTGCTAGGATCTATGGTAAGAATGCATCTTCTATCCATGAAATTGCCTAAATTGTCAATTAAACTTCATCATAGGTATATATGCGTTGGAAAAATATATAGTATAAATAGGATTTGGTACTATTCTCGGTTTCAGGCATCCCCTGGGGACCTTGGAATGTATCTGCCTTGGATAAGTGAGGATTACTATATCCTCTTTGGGAAAATATCTGTTCAGGGCTTTTGTTCATACTTAACCATTTTTAAAAAGTTAATTCTATCCATAGAAAGTTCAGCCATTTGACTAACAGCTGTAGAAAGCACCATTTTACACATTTTAGCAACTTGTTGGGGGGTTAAAAAGACATATGCTGTGCCCTGCCCTCCAGCTTATTCCTCCATCAAACAATTAAAGGTATACTGCACTGATGGGGGCCAGGTTTCAAGATACCAATTGGACCACATTTTCTAGTGGTCAAGGTCACTGTGTGCGGTGAAAGTCATATGTCATACACTTGAATGTGGCGTTATCTCTGGTGGCAGAAGGAACGGGCTGCACCAGGGTCCTCTGTTGGGGTGGGCTTGCCCATCTGGTTTTCTCTCTCTTCCTCTCTGCATATACCATGTGGCAGCCTTATAGGTCTTCAGCCAGCTGGGGGAGGAATTAGACATTGAGTTTTCTCTCTAGCTTCTTCTCACCTTATTTGCTTTGAGTTTTTCCCTACCTGGCCCCTACCCAAACCTTTGATTGCCAGTCTGCATTCAGGCTCTGTGAGTACATAGCCTCTTCTCCATGGAAGTTTCTACCTATGGTGTCAGGGCATCCACCCCCCGCTTCCCCCCCAATGGCCCACCCACTTATCTCCTCATTCCCCCCGTACCATCTCTTCCTCTCCTGGGCTCACCAGCTGCCTCTGAAAAGCCTTTGGTCCAGTCAGAGGCCATGCTCTGCTCACATGGGTGCCAAGAAGCACCCAGAATTGCCCACTCCAGGATTATCTGCCCCTCCCCCACCATGTTAAAGGAAAAGGCACACACACACTCATGTTATTAAAATGAACTGTTTATATCATCTCAGCTGAGTCAATACATTATAATGTATTAAAATGGAAAGGTACAAAATTGAAATAAATACTTTCTGATTCATGTATAAATCTTTTTTTTTTGTCAAGATGACTTTTATCGTCAGTACATGTCACAAGAAAACATTTAAAATGACACTGAAACAATCATTTAAATCATGGTGCATGGAGGAAAAAGGTAAAGAAAATAACTTTTGGCTTGTTTTGGCATGAGACCTTGATACGATTTGGGTTCCCCAAAACCACGTGAAGGGTGGTAAAATAGAAATGCTCAAAACTGACTTAAAAAAATAAACAGGCTTTACAAAAACCCTCTTTGTGATTAACCCAGCCACTTCTCTACATGGTCTGCGCTTACAGTAGATACATTCATTATTGTCCATGGGAAGACAGCAACTGCCTTTCGTTTTAAAGAGCTTGGTGGAGAGGCTGAAGAAATACGCTGCAGCTGAAGGTGGGGAGAATGCTCAGGAGAACAAAAAGTCTAGATGGTCCTCAGGAATGGCACCGAGAGTGAGGGGGTGCGGAGGGTCTCTGGAACAAGAGGTGGAAGGGAGGGAGCGTGAGGAGTCCAGATCTGAAGCAAAGCAAGTCTGAAGGTCGTCAGGAGTGACAGTGTGGGGTGGGGATCTCTCCATCCGAGCAGTTCTGGGTTTACCCTCAACCTGGGAACATTTCTGGTTCAGCAAGAGGGGCTGGGACTCTCCTCAGGCACAATAGCAGGGGGAAGACGGGACAGGTATAGCGCTTCACAATGAATGCCACCAAAGGGGCTTTCTCTTCGGGTTCTGACTGCTTATTAGGTGGTTGTTAAGGCAATAAGGACTTGAGCAAACTAGAAGTTAAGGGCAGCTAAATTCAGCCAGATTGAAGGTAAACAAAAGGTGAGAAGAAGTCCCTTTCTCCTCAGCTACCTTTCCCCCCAAGCACAGGAGGCCCCGGAATTTACAGTACACGAGTAGCAGAGGGCGTGCCCTTTGAAAGGCTCCATGGAAAAGAAGGCTCTTCCCTGACTTGGGGCAACTTGACTGAAGTTTCTACTCTCCAGACTCTCTTTCCCAAGGTCCTCTCAGGAGGGCAGGCTGTGGGCACCCAGCTGTTGAGTCAAAAGTGGCAGCACCTAGGTTTGTGCAGAGTTGGGGCAAGTCCTTTGCTATAGACTATCTGGCCCATCTCAAAAACCTTGAACACCACGCATCCTGGAAAGCCAGGCCTGATGCTCACAGGTCCCAGTGAGACTTGTGTTCGGCTGGAGGCAGGACTAGCCAGGGCTCAGTAATGTTCCCCCCACATCAGATAAAATGACAGCTGCAAAGCCCATGAGAATGTGAGGTCCTTGCAAGGCTTGTGAGCCCCTGAGTGGGCCCTTAAAGGAATGAAAGAAGCTCCTTTGACTTAACTCAACTCACAGGAAATACAAAAGACTGAACAAAATAGATGGAAGACACGTTTCCCTTCTCCTTGTACTGGAGTGAAGGAGACGGGCCTCAGGATGCTATGGGAAGGATAAACCTTGAGAGTGGCCTGCCATTCTGAGTAGACTTCTGGCAGGATCCTGGGTGCTATGCCTGCCGAGGCCCTAGAATTGAAGAACTGGCTCTGAGGCCATTGCTAAAAGGTACAACTACTTACTCCAGCAAATGACCCACATGTGAGCTCAATGAATAAGATAGACATCCCTTTCATCCTGTGGTCTAGATAGCAGTCTAATGCAAGAACTCTCCATGAGATGCCTGGGGCTAAGGATGCAATGGCTGTGCTCTAGTTACTCAAGACCACCTCAAAAAGGGGCAGTCATGGGGCCAATATGTGATGAAGCAGAAATGCCAGTTGTAATGGCCAGCTGTCTGGGGACCAGTGCCCTGCCTGACCTTTCTCTGATTGAACCTGTCTTGCTTTGGTCCTAAGAAAAGTGAGCAACATTCCATCCAGGAATCCAAGGGTTACAATACGAGATCCATAATGAAGCAAATACGATCATCAAGCTGTGGGCATATAGATGAAACAAGACAGGCCATGAGCTGAAGTCGATTAGTAGGTCTGCGGGACTTCATTGTACAAGTCTACTTTAATGTGTTCAAATATCTGTTTTTGAAATCGTCCACAGTACAAAACAAGGTTCCTTGGACATTATGTAGAGAGCTGAAGTCGATTAGTAGGTCTACGGGACTTCATTGTACAAGTCTACTTTAATATGTGTTCAAATATCTGCTTTGAAATCATCCACAGTACAAAACAAGGTTCCTTGGACATTATGTAGCTTCATCCCTCATTTGACAGACAGACCCCCATGGCAAAGTGCCCAAAGTCACACAGGGAGTTACTGCAGAGCCAGTACTGGAACACAGAACTCTCTCTGCAGGGATTAGGATATTTTGTTGGATTTTTACATTCTTAAATCAATGTCAAGTTCTTCAGCTCTGCTCTTCCCGTTGGGCAAGCAGGATTTTTTAAAACCCTGCCAATGAGCCTCAAAAAAATATAACAGCAACAGTACCCATAAAGCCACAAGGGGGCGCTTTCCCCCCAGTGCTCTCTTCAGTCCCAACATTTCAAAGGGAGACCGCCAACCCCAACCCCTAAGGTTTAACTTTAATGGAATAAAGCAGTCACTGTAACCGCTTCTTCAGGGTAACCATCACCAGGAAGAGCATTTAGTTTCCTTTCTGGGCCCCTGGTTGTGTTCCCTTTTCTCTGGAGCCTGATTGAGGGCCTAGTGCAGGAGGAGCGCGTCCAATTTATGACAAGCGTAGGGGTGATAAGGGCCAGAATCACAGCCACTTCAGGACCTAAAGCCCTTTAAAAATCTTTAACTCTGGTTACTTGATCTTTTTAGAGAAAGAGCACTGTAATATCACTGGAATCAAAGACTTTTCTCTATTTAATAAGAAAAAGACATTTAAGTACTGGAGGCTGAGGGGAAAGGGAGGCAGGACTCGCTGGGTCCTTCTCAGTGATGACACTAATAGGGAATCAAGGGGCCTCGCTAGCAAGGAGTTTTTCCAAAGAAAAACAGACCAGATAAGCCAGGTGCTTCTAAGTTCCTGTGAGGGGAAGGTGAGGTCAGGAGGCTTGCGCTGAATTTAGAAGAATGACACCCAAGGAAGTTCCCGGAGCCACCATTTAGTATGAGGAAAACACACCTCGGGCTCTGGTGACTCAGTTGAGATGAAAGTTAGCAGAGAGAGATGCATATTTTTTTTAAAAAAAAGGAGACGGAGGAATTTATGGTAAAATTATGAAGACGTGCTTTGACTAAAAAGTTTTGGACTTTATGAAATAGACCATTAAAAGGAGCTGTGGAATATTCTTCTGGAGAGATCAGGTGCCTTGGGAATGGAAGACACCCAAGAAACTTGGAAAGGCAGAAGGAGAGATGGGGTGGCTGGGTGGATGGACAGAGCACTCCAATTATTTAGAAAAACCTATGCTAGCAAGAGAGTTAGTAAGAGCAGGCTATAGATGTCAATTTTGCTGCTTCTTATCCTAATTGTTCCTCCATGTTCTTCAAAAATACAGGTAAATAAGACATCAGCTCAGTTTTTATTCAAAATCCGAACCCTCGTAACTTGGCTTACAGAGAGCTGAGCTGGAGTGGGGGCAGTATATATGTTGTGTCCACAGTGAGAAAGCAAACGCTTCTCTTTCCCACGGACTCCTATAAAACATGAGGTTCACCATGTCTGAATTTCACGAATTAGAAGAGGGACTCTGCACTAGTGGGCCTAAGGAGAGGGATAGAAGAGCACTGTGATGCAGGATCGGATTCTGGCTCTGCTCATTTCTAACCGTGCTTCTTCAGGAAAATTGCTTCATCTCTCTCTGGGCTTTGGGTTCCTCATCTGTAAAGGGAGGAGACTGGTCCACAAGAGCCTTAAGATCCTCTCTGACATTCAGAATCTGTGGTTCTAGAGACGTGAGTATCAGTCTGGACTAGACACAAGGTAGGGGCTGAATTCTAGGATCATAGTGTCTACTAGCCTTGCATCCAAAAAGAATAAATCTTGCTTCTGGAGAGAGTGAGTAAATTTTCTAATGGGTCTCTTGGGAGTCCTGACTAATGTCACTGGGAAGGGGTGGGGAAGAGGCTCACGTCAAATAAGGTCACGTTCATGCTGCTTCATCTGGTAAATTCTGGCCTTGGAAGAGCCAGGCAGGAGTGGAGCAGTACCTGCCATGTCTCTGGAGTCCTGCCCCTTTACAGTCAACCTTGACTCTGAGGAAAAGTAACAAGTGCCATCAAACCTAATGAAAATTTCAATATATTTTGAAAGATGTCCACTAGCAATGGTCAGTAGTGAGATCAATGCTATGGTCACATACATCCCAGGATGAAGGGCCCATGACAAGATGCTTGTGAAGCATTTGAGCTCTGAGGTCTTCCCTCTTAAGAGTGAGAAAGGCAGTACGTGTTCCACCTTGTTGGCTGTCAGGATTGACCTCTCACTGCAGAACCAAGGAGCCTGAAGACCTTGAAGGACTGCTCTGTCTCCAGATTTGAGGAGGAAGCAAAGACCTATTTGGAGACAGGTGCACTGTTTCTGCCAAAAGACCAGTGTCTGCAACACCACGAATACTGAGAATACAGGTGCTTCTGATATGAACTGTGTATGTTGCTTTGAAGCAAGGTGGGGTGCACCTATCAGAGGTTTTGTTGGGAAAATGTAAAATAGACAATTTCATGTGTCTAAGGCCCATGGATTCTGACTCCAGGGGAGAGAAGCTCAATTCCACTCACCAGAAATATTGTCTACCAACCCCACCTCCTTCCCAGCTGTGCAGAAGCTACCTAGCCGAAGAGACAACTTTGGATGCTAGGGCACTCTCACACCAGAATAGCTGGTGCCTTTTCAACTATGTCTTTCTCCTGAGCAGGCCCAGATGTCCTGCGGAGGAATGAGGATGCTTCCAGCATGGTCTGCAAACACACAGCAATGAACCTCTTAGGTAGTTAAAGACCCACTCTTGCTCTAAGTGCATTGAAGACTCAAGAAAGCATAGTTGCCCTCCCCCTGCAAAAATGTTTTCACTTCCTCATCTTACATATGGTGAAACTGGGGCACAAGGAAGGACAAATAATTTTTCTGCAGCTCTCATATTGACCTAGTGACACACCTGGGAGGAAAACTCAGGATCTCTCTCTCTCTCTCTCTCTCTCTCTCTCCTTCAATATCTTCCATTACCTTTCTGCTTAATTCACATTTAAAGTCTGTCTGCTTGCCTATCTATCTATACTATATTATATGTACTATTATGTATAAAATATAAATAATTCTTAGATTTCTGCTTAACTTCCTGTCCTTTCTCCTCCTTTGTATAACTAGGTTTTTTGGGGAGGATGGGGGGGAAAGTTCCGTGGGAAGGGAAAACCACAGTACTGCTCAAAGGAATAGACCTCTGGAAGGAGAGATGACAGCCTTTGTCTATGGGGCAGGTGGAGGTGGGGGGGCTTCAGATCTGGACTGTACAGCAAATTAAATGGAACACAACTCAACGGAAATTGGCAATGGAGACATCTGTGCCAGACGAAGTGAACTTCCACAACCTGGTTTTAAGGAACAGTCAATACAATAGAGATAGATAGATACACTATGTTGAATCTTGAGTAATAAAACAAGTTATCAATAGAGTTATGCTAACATAAAGACGGACATCATAGGGAATAGTCTGGTCAACAACCAATCACCATTAGAATCAAAAAGTAAACCGGCCTTTTCACTGAGTACCTCCACGACGTTTCTCAATGCACTAAGCACATTTTAACCATGCAAAAATACACAAACATCTTAACTAGGTTGTTTTTGTTTTGTTTTTTTGTAAAAAAAATCAAACACCAACATTATGCATTTTTGTTAATTATATTGGTTAAAGTAACAGCCAGTGGCTGCCAAATATCAGATACATCATATACATATTTTTATACAGAATCCGGACAACACAACATTACACATCAGAGAGAGAAAGAGAGAAAAAGAGAAAGATATTATTTGTTCCTTTGTGGGTTTGTTGTTGTTGTTCAGTAAAAAAAAAATATGAGAAGCAATGCTAAGAAGGAAAACACTTCAACAAGTTAGGAATACATAGGGAGGATTGCTAACCAGAAATACAGGAGGAAAAGAGTTCATAGTTAGGTCTGTGTCTAGAATTTTCTTCACTAAGAAACAAAAGAGCACAACAGGTGTATTGGTTTGGAAAAGCAGAAAGAGCGATAACATCATGCTGTCTGGGTCCAGCACGTTTCCAGCAAGAAGAAAAAAAAATCATAATCACAAATTAATTTCACAAGTTTTGTTTTCAAAAATGTCCTCCCTTACCCAGGAAGCTGGGTAGTGCACGGGTGGGGACAGCTCAGTTTAGACAGTCCTTGGCAAAGGTTTGGCCAAAACCGTTGGCCTCAAATTAGTTGGAGATATGAGCTGTTTGTGGGAATTCGCGCAATGAAATGTGACGTCGGCTTGCTCCAGTCTAGGCAAGTTTTCCCGTTGCCAGCCAGTGGTCTGGTGGAGGAAGGACACAACCCCGTGACAGGCTCTGCTAGCCAGGCCCCAGTCCTGCCCCTTAAACATTTGGCATCAACACAATCCTAAGAATTCAACCTGGAAAGAAACAAGACCTTGAACACAAGCTATGGAAGCACTACCATGGTCACGGCTAGATACAAAAATGTGAAAATTCAGATGTAATCAAAAATACAAAATCAGTTTCAATAAGGTTTGCTTTTTTTTTTTTGTTAACCATTACAGTGCAAGGTTTTTCAAATTACAGTAGAAGTTATGTGTCTGCTTACAGTAACTAGAATAAGTAGCTGATTTTGTTCTGCTCGAGTCAGAGGTCCCTGATAAGTGAGAATGCACCAATCTGAAATCAACCCAGCACAAGAAATGGATATGCAAACACAAACACAGTTCACTACGGTCTTTAAACCTTCAAACAGCAACAAAAGAATGGTGCCATTTGGACAACTCATTAGCACGAGGTCCTTCCTCCATTAAAAATTAATAATAAATACATGGTATTAAAATTCCAACAAGAAAAGGACTGGAAATCTGGGGCTGAAGGGTGGAGTATCTGAAGGGAGTCTTCCCATCTCACTGAGCTTTCGCATTGTTCTTAAAAACAAAGAGCAGTGTGTCAGCGTGAGCCCCTTTGGGCAATGCTGCTTTGTGCTTTGGCTCCCCATCCCAGGAAACCAGGATGAAGCTCACGGCCCATTGTGCCATCTAGATCACCCCCAGGAGGGGAAAATGGAACTATTAAACCAGAACTGGGGGCCCAAAGCGGGCAAGGACTGGGGAGCCTACATCTGGCAAAAGGATGGCCCTTGTCAAGGCCATTGTGCCTCTCAGAGCCTCGGATTCTGCCAAGGATGGCGAGAACAGAGTCAGGAACCCCAGATTACATCTGAGAAAAAGCGCCATCATTCCTTCAGAGCCATTGGTTTGGGAGTGGGCAAGAGGCTGAAAGAGAGCAATGTGGCTAAATGAAGTGACCAGGTAACAGTCTTCCTAACCATGCTGTGGGACATGAAGAGAAAGCAAGGGTGAACAAGGATTCATCCTCTTTTGAGATTCGTAAAGCCAACCAGTCTGGGATGGGTTAGGAGGTGGGCAAGACCCACTGGAGAGCCTCAGGAGTCCTCTCTGTGTTCAGGGGAAGGAGTGGAGCATGGGGGTTGGCCACCTTGACATCAAGCCAGAATGCTGTGGAGGCCACACTGAGCTCCTATTCTTCACACAGCCCCTCTCTAGCCCCTTCCTGGTGCCCAAACCCACAAAAACCACTCTGACCCATTTGACTGCCCCCTTATTTAGTCCCTCTGAGTGCCTCCTAACGGTGGGGGCAAACTCTTCCCAGGTTTGCTTACATTGAAAAGGGACTATTTAGACAGCCAGGGGTTGTTATCTAGGGCCTGGGATCCGCCAGGGCTGCATAAGTGTGGGTAGCACCCTCTCCCATTCCTCTGGGATGTGGCCAGGTGGTTGGATCCACCTGCCTCACACAAAGGACCTGCATAGGTGAACAAACCCTTTACTCACACCTACACCCTGAGAAAGGGAAGAAACAAATTCCTTTGCCATGTTGGAAAGCTTTCCTGCCTTTGAAATAGAGTGAGGTGCTATGAGCCCAGTTGGCGCTAAATTATTTGGTTATAATCTGGCCATTGGAGGAAATATGGGCTTCCTCTATTACAATACACTTAAACTGCTGGACAGCAACAACAAAAAAGAGGTTAGACTAGGAAGCAAAAAAAAATTACCTTCAAGATCTATATTTTGAGTATGCTTATTAGGATGGTGAGAAATTGGCTTCATGCTTTCTTTGAAAGCAAGAACAAACTATAGTTGAATTAACTTAGGAGATGTTCATCTTTGATTTAAAGAAGATCTCCCTGGGTTCTTACGCTCATAAAATTAAGATGGGTTCAAAGGCGAGGAGATAACTTTTTTTCTCTTAGTGGTTCAAAGTTCACAGTCCGGAGGCAACTCAGAGCTCCATAGATGTTATGTTGGATGACTAGATGTACTGATGACAGACATTTAGGATGGGAAGGGACTTTGGGGAATGTCATCTTCAGGTTGCAGAAAAGTTAACTGTGCTTGAGCTGGTGTATGGGTTGGTGATGGATCCAGTGCTCCTGCTGCTGCACCTGGATTTCAGAGGGTCGTGACCTGGCTCGGAGGGGAGCAGGTGTGGAGGCCAGTTCTCCATGGTCCTGTGATGCAACAGCATAGCTTCCATGCTGTCACTCAGCCATGCCTAGAGAAAAGTGCTAGATAAACCACTGGTGAACTTTTAGTGGTCCAGTTTGTTGAACTGAACTAGGAGATTAAGGAATCAGTAATATTTCTTAAAGATTAAAACCCCACTAATTCTCATCACTGTGAAACAGTGAGGATTTAAAACTACCACCTATTGACATAATCTGTAGCCATAAAACTTACTTGGAAATTAGCATGTAGTGTTTTGGAAAAGTGATGAATACAATAGATGTGATATGTCTTAACTTCAGAAACTCTTTTGATAACTCACCTCAAGACATATCTCAACATTCACCATGAGAATTTTTCTTAGGGGGAATTAAAATTTCATTGTTGGCCTACAGAGGCCTTATAGCAGTGTTCTTCAGGGATTGGTGCAGGAATTCTCATTTTATAGGGAATCTTTGGAGGTTTTTTGACTGATACAAGGCTGTGTTTACCCCATGTCATACTATTGTGCCCCATTTCTCTCTTGGCTGCTCCTAAGAGAATGTCCTTATCTTTTATTCTCTGTAACCAATGTATATGTTCATAGCTTATTGCTTAACCTGTAACTCTGTAAGTCTATAAACTCAGGATGGAGGCATGTGTTCTGTGGACATAAAGAAATGATGGTTAAAAACAATAGCTAAGATGCTGGGCTTCAGGACTTTCATGTCTCCAGGAGGCAAGACAGTAAAGGGGTCTGCTATGTTTGTGTCCCCCCAAATTCATATGTTGAAGCCCAAATCCCCAATGTGGTGGTATTTAGAGGTGGGGTCCTTGAGAGATAATTGGGCTTAGATAAGGTCACGAGGGTGTAGTCCCCATAATGGGATTAGTTCCCTTATAAGAAGAAAAGACCAGAGCTCTCTCTTTTCACATTTGAGGATATAGCAAGAAGGCATCCATCTACAAGCCAGGAAGAGACCTCTCACTAAACACCAAATCTGGTGGCCCCTTGATCTTGGACTTCCCAGCCTTCAAAACTGTGAGAAATAATTGTTGTTTAAATCATCTGGTCTATGGTATTTTGTTATAGAAGCCTGAACTGACTAAGACAGAGTCCATTCCTAAATTCCTGCATCACTTTACGTAAGTCTCCAGATGGAGGTCACCATGTTTTCTTTCTAGAGCAATCTATCTGAAGGAGAGAGGAATCTGCCCATTACTCTCCTTTCTCTCTTCCTTTCTTTCTGGTCAAGCAATATTTTCTAAGAGAGCATTGCTTTTGAGAAGGGCTCCTGTGATCTTGCAAGAAGTATCTGCTAAAAATGGCTGCTAAGATATTGGTGCACATTGGGGGTTACTTTTAGGGAAAAGAGAGGACACTCTTTAGGGGACACCTTGTGTTAAGGTCCTAAAGTGAGGGTATGCTATTCATGAAGAATGCTCAGCAGTCCTTCAGAAACACAGGAGAGCTCACAATATCCCATGTAATCTCCTCTTCCTTTGAGCTCAAAGACCTATATCTGAACTGATAGTTTCAACACTTGATGTACAGGTTTTAGCTCCCTTACCAGACTGTGAATTGCTTGAGGACAGGGTCTAGTCAAGTGCCTAGGAGATTCTCTGGTTGAATAATGAGTAAAGTAAGAAGATTAAATTAATGAACAGAATGAAAATGGACTGGGCATGATGAGTTCAAGAGTCTGACTGAGCCTTTGGTTCTCAAGGGAGAAGATCTCCTTTAACATTGGGAGAAATTGCCTCGGCTTTGACAGCTGGCATCAGACAAAGCGAAGTCCTTACAAGTTTCCTGGGACAAAGTTAGAGCCAGAGTTCTCCCAGTAATTCAGGTCAGTCATGTGGAGTCAGTAACTCTTGTTAGATGCAGAACTTTGCTGTTTGGTTTCTTTTTAATACCTTGAGCTCCCCAAAACAATGATGTCAATCAATGTCCTGGTTCCTTCTCTACCACATGGATGGATCCTACCCAAAGAGCCTCCTGGGACAAATCAGAGAAACAATAATTGACTTAAAAATTAAGTTCTCATAGGATATGTGTTTTTTTCCCCAGAGAAAAATCACTGGAAATCAGGTAAAGAGCTTCTTTTCCATTTGTTGGACTCAAGCTGACACCTTAGGGCTCCTGCTCTTAGGCCATCTCAATGTGAGTAGTTTACACAGGTCAAGCCATTTGGGGCTACTGCCGGCCTACATAAATATATGAAATTTAGAAGTGAACTCTCAATTAGGCAGCAGGAAGAAAAGGAAGGTAAGATGCCCCCACCAATTTAAACGAGGGGAGGATGCATGGTCAAGTGTGATGGTAAAGGCAGGGGACTTTCAATCAAGACACCTGAGCCTATAGCATGGTTTTGTCTTTCAGTAATCAAGGGAAGTTGGGCAAATCATTCAACCTCCTTAGTCTCATTTTCCTCCTCTTTGAAATAAAGATCTATATTAAATCCCTATAGAAAATAGCGTTACTATAAAAAATAAGTTAGATAACCTAAATAAGAAATTATACAGAAAAGCACAGAGCAAACTGTTTGGCCTGAAGCAAGTGCTGAGTAATTATAAGCTAAGTTTGAGATGAATGATGCTTTAGGCAACACATCCTTAAGCAGACAAGGTGGAGTATGAGGTACATGGGAGCCTGTGAGTGCCTGGGCATCACCATCAGCCTGGGGTGCAGAGGCAGTCAGGCTCAGAGAACCACAGCTGGTGTGAGGTAAAGGAAATGCTCAACATTTAATCATTGGAAGCTTGGAGCTAAAAATGACTTGTGCAAAATAGAAGCTCACCTTTTCTGAACGGATGCTGAGTTGATATGGTTAGTTTGTTGGCATAAGGGATGCAGGCACTCACCATCCCTCCCATTCTGAAAAGGTTCCATGCCATGAATTGGCAACAACAGATGCATTTTATGGAGGTTAAAGAGAGAATGACTGTAATGGAGCAAATCGAGGTATCTGAGGGATTCCAATTGGGAGGCCAAGCCTATTTGTTGTATTAGTAGGTTCTAATGCTCAGAACTAGCACTCCCTGCATTTCCACATAGACATGCTGAGAACCTGAGTCTATTGCAAAGGCCAGGCCACACTTTAAATGGGAAATATGGGTGGGTTCTCCTGCTTGCCCTGCATCAAATTAAGTTGAAGAATGTGTGGGACAATGTGTGTAGGGCTGAGGGAATTGGGAGGGCATTGGGGAAAGGGTCAGAAAAAATTTTTTGACATCCTTTTCTATATACTCTTTTCACAGTCTCTGAAAAGGGCTGGGACCACTGTACTAATTATAGGAGAAATCAGGACTCTCCCCAAAACCCCAAAAGAGTGCCCGTTAGAATATATTGTACTCATAGTGACCAGCTGCTAGGCTGCTACGAAGAGTGTTCAGAGCTGACTGAGGTCTGCAGGGCTTGACTTGCTCTGGGAGGCTGCAATGGTCTTAAATATTCATGAAGGTCTGCCTGACCAGGGTTGAACTAAACATTATTAAGAAACAGAGACTGGGCTCCTTTGTGTCTCTTAGGCAGCTTTGGGCTTCAAGAAATTCCATTCATTATTCAAGTCTTCCTCCCCTTTGCCCCTGAGAACTCAGTGGTCTCTGAAATTGAACCTGGAATGGCCAACTGACACCTTCCCATCCTTTGATTTACCCTCACTGATGGAGATATACAAATCATCACTATTTTAGGACCTCCTTCCTCCTGACTTCCAAGATGCGGGGAGGACCAGGGGAATGGGAGTGAGGCACAACAAAACTTCAGGGAACTGAACTTTGAGCCAAGGCATGACCATGAACACCAGCCCAGCTCTAATAGTCTGCAAAGTCTGTGAAGATGGAGTGGTTATCCACAAGGGGGAGCATTCTTTGGATCACCAAAAGAAGAGAAACTGATTGTAGCTTGAAAGACTTATTCTTTCAATAAGGTTGGGTGAATGTTAACAGACAGTGAAAGACACAGTATGGCTTAAGTATGTGATTCTGGAAATTGCCTTGCTTTCTCATCAGAAAGCAATCAACACCTTAAGTGAATGAATGATGTGACATGACTGTAGGTATGGCCAACCCAATTCACCCATCTTCACACATCCTATGTATCCTTCAAAACCCAACTGGAATGCCAGTCTTTTTAAAGTCTTCCTTTAAACCTCCACTTAAAAGTATTGCTTCCTGTTTTGGGTGTGCTTAGCATCTTGCACCTCGCTTAGGGCTCCGTTTTTCCTGTATTATAGTTATTTATGTACATTTCTCACCTCTCATATTTAATTCCTTCAGGACTGTATCATCTTTAGAGCCTCTACAGTTCTAGCCCTGCACTTGACACAGTAGGTGTTCAATAAATATTTGATAGCCAAGTGACTGACTCAATTTGAAGTAGGAATAATAAAAATAATTCATCATCTGCCACCTTGTTCTTCCAAGGAGGGTCAGTGCATGGCAGACCCGGCCTGAGAGGTCCAAGGTCAAAAGTCTCTACAATGGCTGTACCACAGCTCAAATTCAGGATGAGAGAAATTCTTGTATCATTTGCAAGTCTGTACAATGGCTCTCTCAAATTCAGGATGAGAGAAATTCTTGTATCATTTGCCACATCCTATTGAAATACCATATATCTTCTGCTTCTGATCTCAGAGTTTCCCCAGGCATAGAATTTGTTCTTGTCTTGAAGCAGGGCACCCAGAAAGCAGGTAGGGGGTCAGGAACAGATTCCAAATAGAGATTCCCCCCTGAAGTTCAAGAGCAATTAACAACGAATGGGACTGAGAACACCTATCTAGAATGATCACATGCCAGGACAGTGCCTTCACCCTTCAAAGGAGACAGAGAAATCTCCAGAGAAATCTTAGTAACAAGAAATACCACAGCTTCCTCACAGTGGTGCAAAAACTTCCCACAAAAACCAAACAACAGTAAAGGCCAAAGACCAATCCATTCTGAGTAGACATGGTCTCTGGACAGAAAAGGAAGAAGATAGAAAAAGATACCTTTTCACAATGAGAGGAGGCTCAACAACCTTTCTCCTGTTCCCATGCTCACTCTGACATGTCAGGGATTCCCTCTCAACCAAGGGAGCTTTGCTCGTGAGCCAGCAGTAGGCCACTACGTGGACAAAAATGGCTGGTCTGCCTTCTAGGTTTACCTTTAGAGATTGGTCCATTTGATCCTTCCAGTATAAGAAACAGATTAAACCTAGTACTTGGGGCTATCAACACGTACACCTAAAATGCCTCTACCCCAGATGCAACAAGAACTTCCTTCTGTTCACCCTGAAAATCTCCTAGTTATCTATGCCCTGGTGATTTGGGGGTACAATGGGTGTGGGCATCCAGGAAGGGTAATACAAGTGTGGAAATGGCCCAGAGCCTGCATGGAGAGAGCAGTCAGCCCAATATTTCAACTGCAGAAGGGTCTCCATACACAAAGCCTCCCCTGTGGGAAAGTTGGGGGTTGAGATGAATGGAAAGAGGGAGCAAAGACATGAACTTGTAGGTGGCTCTGTAACTAATTTTCCCTTGGCATTGGGCAGGTTGGAAGGTGATGATACAAGCAAGAATCCTACAAAAAACCACCTGAAAACCGGCTCTTCTGAATCTACAATATCTATGTCACCCAAAGAACAGGGACTAATAAGAATTGTGCTTTCTAGTGCCTAAAAAAAACAAAGCAAAACATTTCTCAAGCATGTAATTATCCCAAAGAAATCTTGGGATCTGGGGAAGCTCAGTGAGGTGGCAAACTCCTCAGAATCAAAATCCAATGTTGGAAGCATATTGTCATTGTGGTGTGTGTGTGTGTGTGTGTGTGTGTGTGTGTGTGTGTGTGTGTGAATTTATCATATATTCCCACTCAACTAAAAAAAAAACCCCACTTAAAATCAACACCAGTGTGTTCCATCTTCAGTACACATTTTATCTTCATTTCAATTCCTAGACAGACCATTATACCATAAAAAGAGAGAAACGGCTGAGAGCAGGCAAAGTGTAACCTACCCAGTGCTGTTTGAAATGCTGGGTCAGCATTGTTAAAGAGCAAAGCAAACCTCCCAAATACAAGTTAAAATGTCTGTTATTAATATACACTAGCAATTCTTTATGATCATCAGAAGAAAATAAAGGAGACAAAAACGGATATATTATGAAATTGAATCTTAAGCATTTTTCTTTTCTTTTTGTAGTTATGGTAGGTATTTTAAGGGAAAACTTGCCAGTTGGAGAAATGGGTCTCCCCGCCATTGATTACTACTTTTCCCTAGCTCTCTGGAGCTTGGGAGAAACAACATACATACAGAGTTTCTCTGAAGTATCATTTTAAAGATCTTTTCCTCTAATGTACAGACCTCTTAAAATCCCAGTTAAAACACAGTTGATGAGTTTGAGAAATGTCTTAACAAGTTTTGGCAAAAGACACAGCAAAATAAGGGTTGTTGAATCAAACAAAGTAGTAGGAGTCATGACCAGGGTGTGCTTAGTTAAAGTAAAGTAATTCAATTCAAATGCACAGAAAAAAGGAATCGATCGCCGACAATCCACCTTGTAACTTCTATTCAAGATTCCCTTCACCCGGTCCTGTCATTGGTCAGGATTCATCCGAAAACCTTGAGTCTTTATGGCATTGCTGTCTTGTAGACTACAGATATTTCCAAGTCACCATCTCTCTTAACACATGGTATGGAAGAGAGTCCCAGAAGGTTTAGAGAAGATGTGGGAGCTGGGCACAGGGTAGTTCACCACCAAATAGCATAACACATAAAATCAACCTAGAGAAAATGGCAAAGTCAAAAGTAGCTCAAATCAGACGAGAGTTCTAGGGAGTCAGTGAGTACCATATTCCATGCCAAGAAATTGAAAAAAAAAAAAAAAAGAACGAAAGCCGGACATAAATCAATATCAAAAGCTTCAAAAAGTCAAAGCCAAACCAATGTTTCCTTTTTCCCCCTACACACAACCTTTTGTTGTAAGCCCAAAGGCATTGAGATCAATCATTTTTTTTTCCTCCTGGAAGATTCAAGTCTGCAGAGACACTTCCATGTGATCACTTGAGTCCACAGAAATAAAGCACCTTTGGAACCAAGAGTTGTTCAAGAATCCTAGTGTCTTACTCAATGTGTTGAAAAAAGTACAGTTAAAATAATTAGGATAATTCCTCAAATGACAAACACAACCATATTGACTCCAGTGAACAGGCAAAAGGGCTCCCAGGGCAATTCACAACCAAGAAGATAGAGCACAATAAAAGGCTATGACATTTCATGAATATTCTGTGTTATAGCTTTGAACTTTATTGCAAAGCAAAAATATATATTTTTATATATATATTTTTTATCTACATTTCACCTCTGACATTGTACACAACACGAAAGCACAGGAAACCAAAAAAATCATAATGAGGTAGATACATAACACTTACAGATGGAGGAGACTAAAGAGTTTAAATTTGGCTTAATACTGTGGTCACCAATGTATGCATTTTCAACACAGCAGCAAGCATTGATTCATGGGGCAAGAAGCCCAATGATCTCAAATCCAAAAATAAGCCCCTTTAAAAAAATACCTGCTTCAAAATGGAAAGAAATTTTTTTTTCTTTGAAAAATCAGGGATTCAGATGTGTTCAGTTGCAAACTCTGGTGAAATAAAGTTTTTGTTTTTGCTTTTGTACCCAGCGGGGGGAAATGTAAAATTCACCTATGTAATTAGGAGTAACCTGTCCCATAGGGTACTTCTATGTTTTCCTGCTGAGGGGTTGGGGCAACCTTAGGAGCTCCGTGGCCAGATGTTAATAAAGGAGCAGGGTTTCTTCGTTTTCCCTAAAGTAACCTCCACCTCTGCAGCCACTATACCAGGGACCACTAGCCTTTGAGGGCCCTGGAAACATGCCTGGAAATGGCTGGAAATCAACTGAGCTGTGAATTCCATGGCACGGCTTTACCTTTCTAGGACCATCTGCTCTCCCAGTGGGTGAGCACCAACTGGTTTGGAACATTGGGATCATCCCTTTCCCCGTGTCATTTCCACTGACAGCCTTCCAATGGAGAGCTGAAAAGGCCACCGAGAAGGCCATGTTCAGCCTCAATTTTAACTATAAATGCATTTTCACTGTAAAATGCAGTGTCAGGCAGTGGTATCTGCCACAGAGACCAACGTCCCCCTGGTCTGATGTCGTGGATGAAAGGAGAATGAGATGAGAAGGGACCAGGAGAGCAACTTGGCTGGTGGAGGCAGCAGCTGGGAGAACAGAGCCATTAAATGACCAACCAAGGAAGGCTCAGCCCCGGCAGGTGCAGATGGACCATGGACACCGAAGGGGCTCCAACTAGAAAGCCAAGGAGTAACTTGCGTTTGTCACCAGTGACTTGAAGAGGAGACCCTAGAGAAAAATGTGGAGGAAACAAGACTCAGAGATGTTGATGGAACTAAAAGTGGACCTGAACCAAACTCCTTGGATTGTTTAACTCTGGACATGATCCTGCATTTGGTAGGCTTGGCTCCACTGAGAAAGAGCTGGGATCAGCTGCAGGCCAGGTCATCCTCAGGAAAGAGGGTAGACAGAGGGGTCCTGGTGGAATGCATGGTGAGTCTGGGATGATGGCAGAATGGGGAGGGAACTGACAGGCAACTGCCTGGGCGAGGAGACTGGTGCACGAGCAAAGTGCACATTGGGGAAGCTTGAAGTGGGCCTGTTTGTGTACTGTCTCCCCTGAGGGACTGTGAGTGCCCAAAGAGGCCACCTTTCCTCTTTGTGTTCCCAGTGCCTAGCAGAACACCTGACACATGGAGGCCACTATCCAGGGTGAATTGCATTTATAGAAAAATGCAACAAGAACATGGTTTGGGGAAGATGTCTACAGTGTAATAAGAGCTTTGAAGACCCTATATCCCACTCCACCCCCACCTCAAAGCAATACTCAGAGGCCTCCTCCAGCCTTCCCAGATGTATGGTGAGTGAATACTCCCATTCGAATTTTGAACGTAAACCATTAAAGAGGAAATACACAGAAGCAGGGCCCAGTGGGAAAGAAACTAAAACCAATTCATTTGAGTCTGTGTAAAAACTGAGATCACAGCAAAGCTGGGCAGCTGCCCACAGCCTAGTTGGGCCAGAAGTTCAGGGTCAGGGTTGTGATGGGTCTTGAGCACTTCATTTCAGGAGGCAAAGCTACAGGGAGCTTTCTACCATCACTCTAGCTCTACAGGAGTTCCTGCACAAGGCAAGGCTGAGAGCACTTCTGAGTGTCCCAAAGGTCACTAATGCAGAGACTAGATCTCTGTCCCCTGGGAGACCCAAAGCAAAGGGTATCAGTCTAGATTGCAGCAGGCGGCATTCCAGTCATTGTGAGGGAGGACTCTGACTGCAGCGCATTGAAGAGTGGGTGCAGGCAAGGCGCTTTTCCCTGGGTGGCCTTGGAGAACAAGCTTGCTCTCTTTTTGTCTGTGACTATGAGAATGAGCAGAACTTAGGTGGTGTCCGAGTCTCCTTCAAACCCTGAGATCCCACTGTTCCTTATGCTCAAGGACTTTGGGGGGGGGGGTTCTCCAAGGATAACTGCTGTGACTGTGGCAGGTATAGGATAGCGTGAGTGTGGGCTCAATCAGAGGCTGCCCAGTAGGCATTAAGCTAATATAATTGTTGCAAATGTGTAAAGCATGAGGCTGACTGCAGAGAAACTATTGGGTTCACTGTGCCCCTCCCCCGCCTCTCTTTGACCTGCGTTTTCACTGTCTGTTCTCTTCTCCTCTCATTTATGTTGGGTGTTGTTTTTATTTTCCTTTAACCAGTTCACATAACAGTGAATATCACTTTCTTAAGCATAATAGTTTGATGGTGGTCACGTCATTCCCTGGCTTAGGAATTTTTCAGTGGCTCCCAACAGTTTATCATCTGAAAATCCAAATTTATCAGTTCGGTTGTCAAAACTTTCATCACATGCATTTTTCATCAAATGCATCTGGGTATTTTATCATCTCTCTGGTATGGGTCAGTCACAGAGGTCACCAGGCTCACCCCTCTGTTTTAGAGATGGGGAAACTGAGGCTCACCAAAGGCAAGTGACTGGCCCAGGAAAGGTGGGGACGGAAGCAGGATGTGGGTTCCCAGGCTGCCTTCCCTCTAGTCCAGCATGCGGGGTTTCCTGCCCTGCCCAGAATTACTCCTCTCTACCATGTCATAGCCATTATCTTCTGGGAAGCATCCATTTCTGAATTTGTCCTAACTCCAACTTTCAACTCTTTCAATGGATCCTTAGAGAAATAACCCACCTATCTAAAGTCCCCTTACCTTTCAAGATCACACACAACTAACCCACAGAAAGGAGACACAGAGTTCTCAGGACAGCCAAACAGACACCTCAAATGCTCAGAACAAGGTTCCATGTAGCTCTTTAGGAACTCACACCCAACAGGTCATGGTCAGGTGGCCTGTGGGCAGCAGGTGTCCTCTTCCTTGGGGACACCTTATTTCATAAACATTTAGTCCCCTACAACCTGCCACTTTTGTCTTAGCCTCCATGGCCTTCTGCAGGGAAACAAGTGTGCCAGGGATTCCGTAGTCCAAGCAGTCCCTGCCGGGCAGGCACTCGGAGCTACCTGAGTCACCTAGTCATTGGGAGCCATTGGGGGAGGCGTGGGGAGAGCCTTGACCTTGGAGAGTGGGCCCAAATATCCAGGTCTGACCCCCCAGTTGTACCCGACCAACCACAGGACCCTGTGCAATCACAGAGGTTTCCTGGGCCTCAGTTTCCTCATTGGTAAAATGGGGTGAAATGTCTTGTTGCAAGATTACTGAAAGTATTTAGATGAGACCATTTGTATGAAGGCAACTGGGACAGAGCTTCACATCACTGGCACTCAATCAATGTCAGCTGAATCGGAGTTCTCCTGCCCTCCCAAAGGGGGCGTCTGCTTCATTGTGGCTGATATCACCTGCCCAGGTCACGCTGGACTTACTCTGACAGTCGACATTCCTGAAACTCCAGTAATCCTAAATACTTCTCTCCTCTAAAGGAACTCTTCCACCCATAGAAGGAAACACAGCAGCTCTGCTGGGACTCCTTCAGAAGCAGCCAGCCTGGGGGAGCTCTGGGTTGTACCTGACTTCTCTGGCCCAGTTATTCACAGCTGTACACCTATGGGCCCTAAGGGGATCTCAGGTGCCAATGGATGGCAAGAAGTCACCTAACAAAGCCACCACAACAGGACCCGTCCATTCTGGTGGGGAAGACTTTCCTCAGCAAAGGCTCTGTTTGTGCTGCCGGTGAACTGTCAGGTATCAGGCCTGGCATCTTCCCTGGGTCTAGATTTGTGGTGGGACTCAATAATGCCACAGCCCCCAGGGGAGCAGGTTGCCATAGCCCCAGAATTAGTATTGGATGCTCTGACTCAGCCCTGGGAGAAGAGCGAAGGATCTAGACCACTTTCACTCTTTGGCCCCTCTTCATTTTGCCCCAAACTCTGAACCTCACCGATACCCAAAGTCCCTGGATCCCCAAAGCTGGCTGAGGACCTGAGCCTGATGGGCAGGCCAGAGAAGAGTGGGGTCATGGGCCAGAGCCTGGCAGCTCTGAGAGGACACCTCTAGTCCCCAGCCACTTTTTATGGAGGCCCAGGAGTTGCGAAGTCTCGTGATGTCTTGGAACTGATTCCCTTGATATTTTCGGAACTGTAAAGACAAGTTGGCTTCTGGATAAGACTCCTGGGTTTGTGTAGGCAGGACCAGAGCCCATGAAGGCCTAAAGTCTCCAAAACACTACCTCCAAGGGTAAGAGGACCCCCTTACAGGAGGAGAAAGAAAGAATGAATGATAAATTCCTGGGATGGGTCTGAGCAGGCGTGACCTATGGAACAGGACAAAAAGCAAAGGAACAGCACTTCATGAAGATCCCCTGAGTAGCTAAGAGTCTGTGCAGGATGGGGGAGGCAGGAATGAGGCCCACAGAGAAAACGCATTCTTGTCAAAGGGCTACTTCCCTTTCCATCCCAAAGGAATTGCATCCAAGCTCCCACCAGCCATGGACTGGAAACATATTGTGCTGGAGCAGTTCGGCAGTGTCTGAATTTATTTTTTAAAAACTGGCTCGGGGGGCTTGGGACCTTGTGCAAGATTTGTACGCCGTGTGCAAAACTCAGCCTTGTGCAGACAACCAGAGAAGTTGAGAAGCTGCCTTCTGCACGCAGGGCGTCCCCTGCCTAGTTTGTGCTTTGTCTAACCCCACGATCTCTCTTTGTTCCAGCAACTACTTTCTGAAACCTTGTGAAGGTGTGCTCGGCCACAGTGGCTCCGGGGTAGTTTATAAATGCCCTAGCATCCATCATTTTGCTTTCGAGCCAAGGGTGTATATCAGATACACTCTTCAAATGGGGTGCAACCTGAGGGCCGACTTCCTGAGCACTTTGATGCAGGCTCTTGAAGATTCTCTTTATATCTAACTTTCAAAATAAAAGCAGCAGATGCAGTAATCCCACTCAGGCAAGTTGCCATCGGTGGCTGGCAGGGGAAGAGGCATATTAGCGTGAAGCTGGGCAAAGGTAAAGAACAAGGAGTTGGCCCTGGGCAGAGCAGGGAGAATAGGTGGGAAGGATGCACTTGGCAGAAAGCTATAAAGCTAAGGTAGAAAATATTAGTTCACCCTCTGGGGATAGGTTACTCCATATAGATGACCACGAATAAGGAAATAAACACCTGGGTCAAATCCTTCCCAGAGTACGCGAGGTCCCCGCCAGGGTCTTTACCCAGGACCAGGGTCCATATTCTTGCCCAACCCCCAACCCCAGAGGTCACATGCTCATTGTTCCACTTAAGCCAAATTTTTTTTTTGATCTTGCCTTAAGTCAACACATCCCCAAAACATATCGTATAAAAGTACACTTTATAAAGAAAATAAATATTTTGAGTCAAAAAGATGAAAACAAGTTGTAAACATGGAACCGAAATGGAGAAATACACATCTGTTCACTTTAGGGAACCAAACAGGGTTACATCGAATCAAATTCATTGAAACCGAAAGAAAAGGAGAAGCTTTTCGCGGGAGCTCTTCGATTTAGGAAAAGAATCACTGTAGCATGCTCACCTTGAACCAGGGGCTGGGTGTGGTGGTTCTTGTACAAAGGAAAATCTGTGAGCGGGGCGGAGATCTGAGGTGAAGGAGGGAGGGAAGAGAGACTGGAAGATTGCATAGTTGTGAAACAGTGGCTTCTATCAAGGTGAACAAGTGCATCATCTGATAAAATAGCATTTGATATATATTTTTCTCTGTTCATTTCTGTTTACCATCTTTTTCTCTGTCCACCGAGCATTTCAGACAGGGAAGCATATATACAGTACACACACACACACACACACACACACACACACGCACGCACGCACGCACACACACACTAGTGCTACGCCTGAATGGCACAGCCATACTTTACAATGACCCCTCACCACTTGTTCTGGCAACGTTTGCATTCACCGATACACTTTCGCTACAGCCTCGCCCCGTTTCTTGTCAAAACTTGTGTCTTGGATGATTTTTTTCCTTCTTTAGCCATGAAAGGGGGCAGGTGAGAATGGGGGCGTCGAGGAAAGCACCAGAAATGGTTCTGTTTTCTTATTAAACTTCTGTGGAAATGCCTCCCATTTTGGTAGGAGAGAGGGGGTTTACAATTTTGAAGAGATGGGGGAAAAACAACTGCCTCTTTTTTTGAACATTCTTGAGGTAAACATATTTGTTAACACCTTAGGCAGCAGACACACTGACAGTGCTGTTGAGAAACCTTAGACTGAGGAGGGAAACAACGCCAAACGTAACATGAACGCTCAGAACATTTATAAAGCACATCTACATTTTAATTCATTTCCCTTTCCTCTCATTCAGCCAACTCCTTTGAATAACATAGAACAGAACAGAAATACGAATAATTTCCTATAATTTCCTATACTGGGCATCCTTTATTCCATCCCACTGTAAACCTCTTGTGCTCACATCCTCAAGGTTGTGAACCAACTGAAAATTAAAAGAAAGATGAACATACTTCACTTTTTCCATTCTTCCCATCTGCCTCAAGCATATATATATGTATATATGTATATACACATACATATATATGATAGTTTACATTAATATAGGAAATAGCAAAGCTCTTTTAGTTACATTTATACAGAATCACTGCATCTGATCTTTATTTTCTATTCTCTCTCTTTTTGGATAAACAATTGGCTATAACAATCTACAGTAAGGCTTCACAGAAAGAATTCTGCGTGTTTTTGTTTTTCTCTAAGAACCAAAGTTTATAAAATGAGGTTTGATTCTAGCACCTTAGACAGTATTAGTGATGTTGTTCCCTTGGGAGAAGTTAGCACTACCAGCACCTCAGGCCAATCTCAGTCTGTTCCACACTTTTCAAAGGTATTGCCAAAGGAGGACACACAGCGCGGTGGAGATGGAGGAGCAGGAGGGGAACACAGCCACACCCCGGGGTTAAAATCTCAGCAACATACAAACAAACCCGTCAACACAGGTCAAGTTGCTGTCCCCAAGTTAATGATCACTTAGTGTTTCCGTGCTGCCAATGAGTCCTTTTGCGTTAACCCTCCCCCCATCAGGTAAGGAATAGCAGGATGTCCGTTTTAGATGGGGAAACTGAGTCAGGAGACAGATGCAGGTCAGCAGGTCACAGAGGACACAGTCTGGGCTAAGACACAGAGGCAGGGATGCCCAACCTCTAGCCTCTTAGCTCCAAACTATCCCTCTCATCACCTTGGACCGGTGAATTGAGATTTTGCAAAAGCAGTTTATTTCGCCGCTGATGAGGAAGCAAAACAAACAAATTTTTAAAAAATATCAGCACCAAAGGAAGTTCAAAAGAAGCTGCTCGATGCTCCCTTGTCCAATATTCCATGGAGACAGCAACTTTCACAAGAAAGGGGACAACGCGTCACAGGGGTAACCACCTTGGGTGCCGGCGCCCTGCCCGGGAGTTGAAACTGCACAGAGCGGTTGGTTCCCATCGAGTAGTGCCTGTGTTGGCAGAGGACTGATCAACTCCCACCAAATCTGCATCAGAACCTCCATCCCATAATTATACAACGCTAGAGAGGTCTCTACCTCTGCATCTATTTATACACGTTTACACGGAAGTCCTTGACTGCACTGGCACGTGACCCCACGGGAAAGTGCTGGCCTTGCTGTTTGCTGCAAGTGGCCGCCTCGACGGGGGTCACACGAGAGAAGCACCACAGGAAAAGGCACCACAAGGTTTCGAGAAGTTAAATTGCCTGCTGTCACCACCCTGACCTCACCGTGGTGGGGGAACTGAAAGCCTTCCGTCTCTAGCCAGGGCCACTGATTCAAAAAGGATCCTGTCCCATGTACACCTGTCCATTTCTGACCCACAGGGAGAGAGGGAAGGAAGAGGTGGATGTGGTTCTTCTTACCGCAATTTCTGTTTGGCTACTGGAAAGGGAACGCATTTCCATTCTTAAAAAAGAAAAAGGGGGACCCGGCCTTTGGAAACCAAGCCCTCCTAAGAAAGGGAGACGATGAACAAAAATCCTGTGCTAAGGCAAGTTCTGCGTGGAAGTCTGACCTTCTCATGTGATTCCGTGGGGGCATTGCGGTTGGAAAAGAAAGAGGAAATGCAGGAATGACATCTGTAGGCACCATTAGCCACAAATAGCACCGGGTCTAGAGTAATGAGGACAGACAGATGTCCACATCTGTCCACATAGCTGAGAACCATGAGAGTTGGCTGGGAATCACTATGACACCATCCTTAGAGTCTGGCCAAGGAAACTGGAAGTCGTTGGCCATTCGGAGCACCAAGAATGACATGTGCCACTGACAACCAGGGGAGGATGGGGGCAGCCAGGACCGCACAGCAGATGTGAGATGACATTCCAATTTTCACTAGTTACTTGCCGGCCTTGAAATAGCCCTTCCTATGTTTCTTGTTCCTGGCAGGGGGCCACACTCCTCATGGGAATGGGGAGCCTGTATGGGTGAGGGGTGCGGAGTTCTCCCCACCAGACATTTCCCTTCCCTCATCCTGGTTAGAAAGAGGAAAGCCAACTGGCCCTGCTGGTGTGATCTGGAAGGCTCCCGGTACTGACTGTCTAAACCCATGGAGACAGGATCGGGAGGCCTGAGACCAGGATCAAAATAACTCACTGCAGGGACCCTCTTCCCAGACTCTGGTCAATGCTCCGACTAAGCACAGGGCCTAGTCACAGGGGGAGTCGGAACAAGCAGCCTCTGTGTGTACTATTTAAATGGAATTCTTTTTTGTCTGGTTCCTCAAACTGGTATTTGTTTGTTTGTGGGTTTTTAAGCTTAAATTGTTTTTCAAATTCTGACGTTTATCAATACCAAAAATGATACTCCCATTTCAGTGTGAGGAAAAATGAATTGTTCCTACCTCTTTCCAACAACCCGAATTATGTATCCAAACCTACTCTGGGGACGTGGACAGCAGGGGCAAACAGACTTCCATCGGAAGAGTCCTCCTTTGCAGAGGCCTTCTCTAGCACCTTCAGGGGGACAGAGAAAAGCCCCATGGATACCTCATCTGCCCCTGTCCCTGCCCTTGGTCTCCTCTTACGTTATTTTCCACCCGTATGCCTCCTGTCCTGACAGACTTCGGTATTTGGGAGTCTGTCTGCCCACGGATTTAGGAGAACGGCCTCTGCCTGTTTGTTCCTCCCAGGACTTCCTACAACTTCCTTCTGGGCAGGAAATGTATTGATAGCGCAAAGTCCCTGCCTCTCTGCTGACCTAAGGTCAGGGTGTCCTGACCACAGTCCCAGCAACCACAGTGGGTGGAGTCTAGATGGGCAAGTGCAGTTCTGAGCGGCTGGACGGGGAGAGCTGGCTCCCCTAGCCTTCCTCCCCAGCTCCTCTTGCTGCTGCTGGCCATGGGAGATGGCAGAGAGAGGAGAAATCCACATCTGTCATTATTACTGCTCCCTCAATGAGACCAAGTGGAAGGTGCAACCCGTGGCACTGGTTCGTAGCACTGGAGAAGGGAAATATTTCCAAGGCTCTGCTCACAGGCTGCGTCCTCTAAAGGGTTTCCCTTATTTTCAGAGTCAAGAGCTCCCTCTGCTGGACGCCTGTATCACATGCTGCCTTCCACTGGAGTTCTTGTTTTTAGCCAAGCCATGGTGGCCAGAGAAGGTTAGATCAAAAGGAACATTTTGGAAACAAAGATGACTAGAGAGGCTAAATAATTGGTCCAAGGTCACATAGTGTTGGGCCAGAGCTCAGATTTACTGATTTCCTACCAGGAGTCTTTACACTATCCTGTTATGACAAGTGGGGTCATCATTCTCAGCCTTTCTACCTTCCAAATTTTCATTCAATATTTTCCCTCCCTTACTGCATCGCACATGGCAGGGGCTATGTTTTGCGTATAATAAATGTTCAGTTAAGCGAAATTATATTTTAAGAATAAGAGCTTCTTTTTCCATTCAAGGAGGTTTCTTAGTTATGTAGTTTATGTCCTCAGCCAAAGCATAAGGGCTCCCCTTGCCTGTAGCACAGGTTTCACATAAGCAGTACCTGTGCAGGTCAGGTGTGAGAAAGCACAAGGGTCCCTTCTGGCCTTCCTCCCACCATCTTTGGCTAAGCCATTGCCCATAGAGCTGCTCCGGAGAGATGGGGTTAGAACTAGGCTCACTGATATTCCCTTAGGTTGAGAATTTGGTCGATAACAGGTGGCCATAAGCCTACATGTTCAGGAGGGCTCAGCCTATAGTCCACTGCGAATTATCTTTTACACCATCAAACTTTGGAAACTATGTTCTACTCACACAGCTGCTGCTCAGAACAGAAGGGCTGCTGATGAAGATCAGATACACAAGGGAAAAGGGAAGGAAAGATTCCCAGCTAGACACCAGGGTGAGTCTCCTGTGGGTGACTGGGGCCCCTACAGCAAACTCCCACCTCATTGAATGGGCATCGAGGGACAAGGGCACACACCTTCAGCTCAGAACTGCCAAGTTCTAGAACTTTCCTTTGATGGATGCATGCCTGGTCATTTGTTCAGGGGGTGGGGTGGGGGGGATAGCTGGAATCTCAAAACTAGTGGCATTTAGGAGTGCTTCTTTTAAACCCTCGAATTCACATACAAGAAGCCAGTTTCTCAGACACAGCTAATGCTCAGAGTAGATAGAAGCAACGAGAATATTTTATTAGCCCTTTAGGGGAAATTACAAATTTTATGCACTCAAGACTGAATTACCTGAGAGTTTCAAATACTTTTGCTCTATAAAGAGTCACTTAGCAGTGTCATCAGTTTTTTGGGTTAAAATGGGAAGAATGACTGGTAGGGAACGCATCCCAGAAAAAATAAACAAAGGTAAGAAAGTATCTTTAAAAATAACCATCATGCTGAGTAGAGAGCTTGGATTCCAGCCTTCCGACCCTGCAGGCTGCTCCCCTCACCAGGCAGACGGGTTGGGAGAGCCAATGACAGTGAGCACACGGGAAGGCCCCAAACATCCCTCCAGGGGAAGTCAGTGAGGTGAGAGCGGGATTCTGTGGCCCATCCTCGGGCACACATGTGAGGAAATGCCGAGAAGCTCTGCCCAGCGGCAGGAGCACAACCTGCTGCTTTGAACAGCAAACCACAGGTTAACAACCCACAGATGCCAAGAGGTGTCAGTGAGACACTGGAGGGTTCTCCTCCTCATTCCTTTCTTCCCTCCTCTCTTTGTCCTCTCCTCTCCCTCTCCCTTCCTCCCTCCCCCCATTCCTCCTTTCTTTCCTTCCTTTCCTACCTGTATATTTTCTTCTGTAACAAATCTGTGATTTTTTTTTAAAGTGAAAGAAAAAAGCCACATAGGAAGGCAGGGGTGCACCATAGCCCTTCCAGGTTGTACTCTCATTTTCCCATGTCCTATCCCCAAGTTCCTCTCCTTGTAGCCCAAGGAGATGTTTTCTGTAATACTCATAGAAAAATGGGTTTCTTAAAAACATGTCTTGTCACAAAAGAGTCCCTGCCAGGAAACAGATAATGGAGCTAGTAGACACTGGGGATTGGCACTGGGGATAAGGGACATCAACAGAGGGGAGAAGGCAGGTGTCCCACATGCTCTTGGCATGACCCTCTGCAGCAGCTGGCGATGTGCCACGCCACCAGGGGCTGCAGACACAGACATGCACGCGGGACAGGTTAGGGAAGGGGACCCCAAAGGCTGCTCCTGTGGAGCGGGGCTTGGAAAGGTTTCAGGGGCTCTGTTTTCTCCCACCTAACACAGTGGCTATCTTACCAGCCCACGTCTAGATCCCACACATTTTAGGACATGGCTCCCCTTGCCGCAGGTGGCTCCCCTTGCCTGCCCAGTCAAAGAAGGAGCCTCACAATGGGATGCAGGTCAGGAAAGAAGGCTTGTGGCTCAAAGCACTGAGTTCCATTAGTACCTTGTCCCTCCAGGTAACCCCTAACCCAATTCCCTGGCTCTTTGGGCTACATGACTGCTATCACCAGGTGGGAGGGAACCCGAGTGGACACCTGTTTCTTCCCAGTCTGTCTGTCGGACTTGTCATGGCCGTCACTGCCACAGGGAGGTACGTGGCACGGCATGAAAATTGGTCTGTCCCACAAAGCGATTGCTCTGAAGTGTCTCCCATCTGTTAGAGTCCCCAGAAGGGGGTCACACTCCCTTTCTCAGGGCCAGGCTCCCAGCACCTGCAGCTATGATAACGCAGGGCAGGACCCCTCAGGCTCGGGTTTCACCGACCACAGATCCTGGACATCTGCCACAGAGCTGACCTCATGGTAGCTTCCCACCTTCCCTCTGTACCCATCCTCTGCTCCCTGCTCCAGTGACAACGTGTGATTAGAATTCCAGAAAGTGGAGAGTCGCTGCCCAGAGACTCCGGGATGCTCTGCGAGCCTGCTGGGGAAACTGGAGACTCACACAATCCCAGCACAACCCTCCACTGGCTTCCCGTCCCAGATGGGATGAAGGGGTGAAGACATATGCCAGCTTCAGGGCGTCTTCATGGCCAGGCCTGGGAGAAAGACATGACCAGCTAGGCTAGGGCTATTTCAAGTCCGGCAAGAGCCCTAAACATCATAATTCTCTGTTCCATCAATTTTTTAAGCCCTTTAAGAAAAAGATACATGCATATATATACATATGTGTGTATATATATAATATATATATAGTATATATACACATGTAAATGTGTATATTTATACAAATTTAAACACACTGTATATATACATATAAATGCCCAAGATTGGCACATTTATGTATCCAGATGTGATGAATAAGCTTAAAATGCAGTTATATGGGCATGTACTATTATTGGCCGCCCCAGTTCTACACAATTCCTGATAATCTCAAAATGTCAGATCACCACATAGCTTACATGGTTTTCACTGTTCTCTCTCTCTCTCTCTCTCTCTCCCTCTCTCTCCCTCTCTATCCCATTCTTTTCACTGTCTCTCTCTCTCTCTCTCTCTCTCCCTCTCTCTCCCTCTCTATCCCATTCATACTAATTATAATTTCAAATAAATACAAATTAAGCCCTCATAATGAGGAGGTGTAGTAGGTTAGCCTCCAGGGCAGGGCTGCAGGGGCGCCCCGGTGCTGTGGGATATTACACCGCTCAGGGGCTATCTGTGTGTTGGTGACATAATGCCCTGGATCGCCCAGGGTCTGTGAAAACTTGGTATTTTCACTTGGAGGCCCATGTTGGCCTCATAAGTTATCAGTGAGCATCCCCAACTGCTGAAGTTAACAGATCTGCCCCTCTCTCCTGCCCCCCATCCCCATAGGTCTCCCTCAGGAGCCAGGGCCACACCTTGTAAAGGCATATGCATTTACTAAAGGAAGAGAGGGCAGGGCGCCTGTCCTTGACACTGGGTGGCTGGACCGGTGGAGAGGCTGAGGCCACTGCTCAGAGGCATGTGGAGTGACAGCTTCTGGGAGCTGATGATGTGTTGGCGGAAGCATGCAGCAACAGTGGCGTCCAGGCAAGTGAACAGGCGGAAGGGGCTGAGTTTGACAAACACCCCTGCCGGAAGCGGTGTGCCTATGACTGGCCTATAGAAGCGGGTCTTTTGGAATCAATGCCAAGGTTGCAGCGGTCATGAGCGCAGGCTAGAGAAGGGCAGAGGAGTGGCTGAGAAGCACAGAATGGTCTGGGCCAGGCAGCACCAAAGCTGAAGACATCCCATCCTCAGGTCCTGGGTTCAAGGAAAGGACATCAAACCTCCATACTTACTACCTTGGGGTCCTAAAGAAACTCGCAAGGGTCCTCCCAGTCCTGTGTCTAAGGTGGAGAGGACCACAATGGACCACTGAGTCCCACATCTTTTCTCAGCAACAACAGAGCCATAGTCACACCAAATCACCTTCTCTTTCTCTTTGTCCCTTCTTCCCTCTGAAAGGAAAAGAAAGTAATTCTCTTCTTTTCCTGAAGGCTGGCCTCATATTTGCAAAATAACAAGTGGGTTCACTCTGGTTCTAAAACGCAGAGGAAGCCCCCACTGAGCTCTGTGGATGCTCCTTCTGTGGCACGTAGATTGCGAAGGATTCAGGGAGAGGGTCCTCCTAATACTGAATGAGCATCCGAACAGCTACAAGGCTCTGGGGGCACCTCCAGGAAGCTTCGATTTGGGGCTGGAATTCCCACCTGCTTAGCTCAGCAGGTGGTTTGGCTCTTTGTAGAAACTAGTGAACCTTGGGCCCAGCACTTGACAAAGAATTTGAGATGCGCTCTGTTTTAGAATTCAGACCTGATTCCTTGAGTGTGGTTGGGAAGGCAAGAACTTTGCACATAGAAACACAAATGAGAAATTTAAAAAGGCTTTGTGTTAAAGTTAGGCAGCTAAGAAATTGATTCCACCACCAAAATATATATATATATAAATAAATAAAATAGCCACATGTTCTGATTTTTTTTTCCTAGTAAAGACCCCTGTCTTTGGAAGCCAAGACTTTGCAGCAAACAACAGAGAACCAGACTCTCCAAGGACATAAACCAACCAAAAAGTACCCAGCTGTTCTAGCACAGCATAAGCAAACCATTCTCTGGGTCTGGAGAGAGAAGATGAAGGCTATGCAAAACTGAAGCGGAGCCCAGGAGGAATGATGGAAATCATAGAACCATATCTGCTGGTCACAGGACATGCTCACTGCTATTTGCCTTCATTTTCTCTCAAAGGAAGAAGAGCAACCAATATGTATTTGCTTCTCAGAATAACATCCTCTGATGTTCAAGTCCTTCCCTTTTTGCCCAATATATGGGAAGGAAGACAGAGAATAACTTTCTGGGGCAGAGAACATATTTCTTGACCCATATTAACATAGCTGTTATTCTGTCCTCTTGTAGTCATTTAAAAATATCCATTAATCAAAAAAGAGAAGAGGAGTTAGATCACCATCCCCTCCTCCACAGCACCTAGCATGGTGCTTTGCACACAGCAGGTGCTCAGCTAATGCTTAAAAGGATTTTAAATAGGAAGCAAACCTGATAACCATATATTTTTTACCCTCAAAGTACTTTTCCAGATAGTCACCACCGCATCCTCACAACACCCCTGTGAGGTAAGTAAGCAATACTCTTTCCTTCTTTACAGAAAAGTAAACTGGTCCCGAAAGTGTGACTTGACTTGGGTCTGCAGAAAGATAGAGGCCTGAATTCATTACTCCCAAGAACATGACCACTTCATGAGAACGTGCCTTTCCTTGCTTTAGATGCTTCCTCTTGCCCTTTAGTAAAACAATAATGCTTAAATCGTGCTTAAATCGGTCACTCAGTAAAATCCATCTCCTCTGTTTGCAAAGAACATGCTTTGCTATTTCTGCCCCAGAGAGCGTAGGAAGTAACGATTAGATGGTTGCACATATGCTTGCCCCCACATACTTCTGGAAGCCCTCCTCTTCTTTATCATTCTTCCTACCCATCTACTGAGTCCTTTTGTCCTCGGTGGCTCCACATGTCCATCTTCTCAGTCATAAATGCCGTACAGTTCATTCACCATCCATCCTAGTCAAAAAAGCAGTGCCGGCGAGAACGGAGAGCCAAGTCTGAGGTCTCATTTATGTCTTCCTTCTGGTTACCATCAGAAACACCTAGTGAAAATAAATAAGCCAAGCAGGATCTGGCCTATCCACAGAACAATCAGAGATACAAGATCAAACAGAAGTCATTATTGAGTTCCAAACTATATCTGGTCCCTTGTGCTGTCAAAACAGTAATATTAATCTTGGCAAACAGAGTCAGAGCAGGTGGGAAAGGAGCTCTTGTCAGGGCCCCATAGTCAAGGAGCAGAAGGATTTGTAGCAACAACTGGGACCTATCTGGGTGAGTTACCTGTTCCTTTGGGACAGTCTCAACATGGGACTTGTGTGTGTGTGTGTGTGTGTGTGTGTGTGTGTGTGTGTGTGTGATGATTTTTACATTGGAATACACCTGAACCCCAAGGAAAGGGTCAGAGCTCAGAGCCAGATTTGAAGCTTCTAGAATTTTCCCTTCCAAGAAGGTTCTCAAAGCCAATGGAAAACCAGTGCTGCAGCGGGCCCTCCTGGAGCGCTAGCGCTCTTCACTGCTCCCACCTGCCCTCACTCTGGTGGAGGTCCTAAGGAGAACACAAAGCTTCTTAGGATGGGTCTGTTTTCTTCCTCAAAGGGTATCTTGGTAGTTGAATTGAAAACAGTCAAACCATAGGAAAAAGAAAAAAAAAGAAAAAAGGAAAAAGAAACTCAACTAAATGTTTCCAATTCAAATGATGAGGAAAAAAATACCCCAATTTAAAGAAAACCCCTTAGTGATGTTCCCCAGCCCCTGTTTGTCTCTGAACCTTTGCCTGCAGTCTCCACTCAAAGCACACCAGGGAATGATGAAGACCCACCATTGGGACCCGCAGTTTGGCTGACGAGACTTTTTTGTTTTATTAAAAAAAAAGCACAGTTTTGTTTCTGTACTCTGCAGAGAGGCAAAGAGAAGGAGAGTCCATTCGATGAGGTGAGCCTCAAGGTTGAAAAACATTGTAAGGAAGAACAAAAGTAAGAGATATTTCCTGAAGAGCTTTCAACCACCTTAAAAACAATCTCCAAATACTCCCTGTTCACCCATTCCCTTGTCTGCCCAAAGCTCAGCAAATACCAGTTTTCAAATGGGTCCTTCCATATATTCTCTGATACTTTAGGAAAAATCAACATCGGGACATTTGGTTTTAGAGTTACAAGTGGCCGGCTTGAGCTAGGTGACCTTCGGTTGCCTGAGCGTGTACCACTGTACTAGGTTCACAGTGATGTGAAATATTTAAGAACCATGGGTGTGTGAGCATTCTCCCTGTCTAGCTCCACTGCTCACCCTCTGGGCTTCCAGGTGTGGCATCTGGAGAACACCCTATTCTTCTATGGTTCTACTTCCCAAGTAACGAGATCACCACCCTTCCTTATATGATGCCTTCACTACAGGCAATAATGACTGAATCCTCACAGCATCCCTGAGCAAGAGAGAAAGAAGAGGTTGGCCTTCTTTCTCTCCACTTTACAGATGGAGAAACCAAGGCACCGAGAGGTGAAGAATCCATGATCACAGTGGGGGACTCTGAATCAGCCTGTGCTATTTCCTGATCTTTCTGGGTCTGAAGAAGAGCCTCTAGGAAGTCTACAGCTAAAACAAATCTTCTAACCCCACTCTGGCCTGAGGACCTCAGAGCTACATTGAGGATGGAAAAACAGACCAAGGGAGTTCATCTCCTAGGCGACCAGTTGTCTGTATCCCCCATGACACATGGCGGAAGGCTGCTTCTAGAGGGATGTTTTCTGGGTTAGCCATTGGCACTCTACCCAAGGCAAATGATTTCTTTGTCCTCCCTGGTTTGAGGATACATTTTAGGAATAGTCCTTCCTGGATGAGCATGGATGAGCTGATTGACTTCAGTTTCTGGTGTGGGGTCTTGTGATTCGAATTAGGGATTGGCAAGGGCAGGCATCTCCTATGGGGGCTTGCATATTGTCCTGCATGGGATGGGGCAGGCCAGGGCAGGTGCCCCTGAGGTCCTGCCTGCTCATTTCTGATTTGGTCTATTCTTAGCCCTTGACACAAGGTGTTGGCCGTGTGTAGAGGGAACACCTATGGTTGTCCGTCTGCTGCCCTCAGGAGCTGCCATTAATAGCACTCCCAACCTTTGGCTCCAGCACATCTCAGCCACTTCCTGCCAGCCAGTGCAAGGAAAGGTACAGGGAGCAAGAAGGCACAGCTCCTTCCCAGGAGGAGGGAAGAAGCAGATGGTGCCCGGGAGAGTCAAGTAAGACAGACAGAACCGGGCAGGCAGGGGAATAAAGCTGCAGGCAGATCAAGGCAGTGCCCTTGTCTTTTGATATTTGGCCAATAGCACAGATGCAGTGTTTTAAGCAAGAAAGAAAACCTTTCAGATAGCTACGGATGGGTGAGAGTGAGGCTTATGTTGCCAGTGCAGGAACTTAGATGACGCATCATCTTTTTCCCCAGTGAGGGACTTCGGAAAAAAATCTCTGAGAGGGCGGAGTTGCCATTTCACAAGTTTTGAAACGGGGACAGGCACACATGGATTTAGGATGCTCTGGGGACAGTCCTCTTACAAGCTTAGGGCTCTGTAGCCTGTGATAGGCTAACCACTGCCATTTCCATGCTGCGCTGTGCATGGGAGCGGAGTGCCGCTGCTCTGAGGGGTCCGTTTTAGATGAGGAGATAATGACCCAGATGGTTAACCCTGAAAGATTTCCCGTTTTGTTCCTTTCATTCACACCTGGACCTTAAGAAGAGGAGTCGATGCTGGTTTACATTCACTGCCTACAGGGTAGCGGAGTGTGCGTCCTGCCCGCAGAGGGCTGCCTGAGAGGCTCTGGTCATCAGGAAATGTTTGAGAACAAAAGGAAGGCTGATCGGCCACTCCGGCAGGGTCTCTTCCTGGTCTCCCTCCGACTCATCAAGATCCTCCTGGCAGCTTCCTAGGCTACACTGGGAATCTCACTTGAATCCAAGTGAAATTAATGGCAGTGAACTCTTCACAGTCTCCATATTTAAATCCCTTCCCCCAACCAAATCTGGTAGTGTTATTTTAATATATATATATTTTCAGTTTGGCAAAGAAATAACGAATTTTAGCTTCTTGATAAGAAAATCAAATGAGTGTATATAAGGCATGCTCCTCTCCTCGTGAAAGCTACCTACCGCCCAGGGCTGCTACCATCACACCTCAGGGGCCTGAGAGGGCTCACTTTGAGTAAGGAGCCACTTTCTTTGGCAAAGAAAAATGCCATGGTGTGTGTCTACCTCATTAGAGAGAGCCAGGAGCGGGAGGGCGTGAACGGCCCCGCCCTGTTCTCTTTTAGGACCTGATACCCTTCCTCCAGCCCAAAGGCTCTGAGCCTGCCCTTGCTGTCCTCCTCTTACATCCGTTTCTGGGTGCTGGAGAGAAAAGTTTGCTAGGGGCTCGGGCACCAGGGCTTGGGGCTCGTTATAGAGCCCCCGCCCCAGGAGCAGGGAGCAGAGGAGATAAAGAGGGAGTGTGCTTCCTCTATCAGGCAAGTGAATGCCGCAGGGGGTTTCGATGGATACATAGGAGTGAAGTCATGCCTGCTTAGAGGTTCTCCAACAAGATCAGCATCAGAAACCTCTTCTCCTGCCCCTATGACCATGTGGGAGAGAGTTAAAGTAGAGGAAGAAGGGAGAAAATGATATCATTTGGTGCTTTTAAAAAACCCCACACATTTTTCTCCCCGAGAATAAGGCCCCTGCTGGGACAGGGTCTGATGCCTGTGACATGAGATGTCATATGGCCAATAGACTCACCTTCACGATCACAATCCAGACAAGTATTTACACTCTTTGAAACCACCCTGAGACTCAAAGGGGCCATGGCTATTGAGGAGACAGGTTAGGCCATGGGGCCATAGCGTATGGGGTGACTTTGTGCTCTGAGACGTTGAGCGTGGGGAAGCTGGCAGGTGTGGAGGAGCCCCCAGGGCCACAAGGAAATGTTGTCTTCCGTGACTGAAAAGGGACATTTTGTCAGTGTGTGCCATCAAGAGAGATGGGGCCTATTCCCACAGCAGCCCTGGTGCTTCTGTGGAGAGCAAGCTGAACCTTTCGGAGACAGTAGAGGAATGTATTTCAGATACAAGAAACTCTTGGCATGAGTAAGCTCAGTGGGGGCTCATGTGATGAATTTGAACCCTCTGAGCTTCCCTCACCATGGTCTTAAGGACATGAGGCCCAGAGAAGAGACTGGTTTGCTGAGCAAGGGAGAAACAGAGCTTGCAGAAATGATGCTACAAAACCAGCCAGGTGTTAGAGATGCTACTGTATTTCTGAGACTGAAAAGAATCAAATCTTCTGTGCGGTTGGAGGCATCTTTGCTGGGGGAGGGGGGGTGGCAGTAAGGGGCATAGCTTCCTAGTTTGTTCTGTAGCTCCCAGTACAGTGTGCTTATCTGCTACCAGAACCAAATATTGAGAGCTCATTTATTTTCAGCAGAAGTTCCTGGGCAAAAAGTAGGTCCAAAGATTTTTTTAAAAAAAGAATATCATAGGCGTCCCCCTAGGGCAGTGGTCGGCAAACTCATTAGTCAACAGAGCCAAATATCAACAGTACAATGATTGAAGTATCTTTTGAGAGCCAAATTTTTTAAACTTAAACTATATAGGTAGGTACATTGTTATTAACTTAATTAGGGTACTCCTAAGGCTTAGGAAGAGCCACACTCAAGGGGCCAAAGAGCCGCGTGTGGCTCTCGAGCCGCAGTTTGCCGACCACGGCCCTAGGGAGTACCTGGGGCTATATGAGCAGCACCTCATCACCCTTAAGGGGTTTATCGGGGCTCAGGCAGGTGGCAGACTAAAGGCGGATTCCCAGTGGAGTGGCCTGGAGGAGCTGGTTTTTTCAGGACCAAAGTCTTCTGGGTAGGAAGACCCACTTCCCAGGGTGAACTCAGAGCACTGAGAGCGTGGATTCCCACACTGCCACCCAGTGGCCAGCCCCCCACTAGGGGAAGCACACTCATGGGGGAGGTGATGCCTGGGACCAATGGAGAGGGTTTCCTGGTGGCTAAAGACATGGGGGTTGGTAGGGGCTGATGATACTGAGAAGATAGATGCAAAGTCTACCTGGCCATTCTCTGTATGTTTCCCTCCCTCCCTCCTTCCTGCGTTTTCTACTTCTTTCCTGACTTTTCTTCCTCCTTCTGGTTCTTTGCAACCCAGATGCTGCTCTCAGAGGCATGTTTTCATTTGCATCATTAGGAAAGGAGCTGGCATGACGAAGGGGGTGGGAAATGACATTTCACGGGACAAGTGTGCCTTCCTGCCTGAGTCTTGTAGAGGCCGATCCAACAAAGGTTGAAAGAAAGGATTTGGGAAAGGTCCTGTCATCTACTCATTTGTTCCCAGTGACTACAGCCCCAGAGGGTCCTCCCTGAGTTGGAAGTTATCACCCCAACTTTAGGTGCTCCAGGTCAACAAATGTGAGCCATTTTCTCATTTGCATGTAAACATAAACACACACACACACACACACACACACACACACACACACACACACACTGGATGTGCAGTAGAAAAATAGAGCTGCAATGTGTTGAAATGAAAGAGAAAGAGAAAGGAAATAAATCCAAGAAAAGACAAACAAGCCAAAGTGGCACAGGTCCCAAAGGGATGCACGGGGGACAGCGCCAAGGGTTGCTCTAGCCACAGACGTCCCCAAGGCTCCAGGCACAGGAGCCCCAGAACTGAGGCAGACAAGAGCTGGGACCCAGTGAGCCTGGATGGCTCCTCTCACATGGCCTCCCGTCCTCCAGCCTCAGCAGAGTAAGCGGCGAGCTAAGCCCTCAGTAGGGAAGCAGAGTCCAAAGGAAAAGCACCTCCAGCCAGACTGGAACTCCCAATTAACCGCTGGGTGGCCCAGGGGCCTGGGCCTGGGGTGGGCGCAGACAGACCCACGTGGCTGGTCTGCACCAAGGCCTGGTGTGCTCTGTGCAGCGTGCTTCCTAGTGGGTGGGCCCTGGGCCCACAGGCTCTCTGCAACTCTCCTCCCGCCCCTCCTTCCCACAGGGGGAGCACCCCAGGGGCAACCAAGTCAGGGAGGGGGACAGGACAGCACTGCAAAGTTTAGTACCAATAAAGGAAATCAAAGAGATCTGGACAAAGAAAGGAACATCCAGATTTACAACTAACTAAAATTTAAAACTTATTTTTAAAAAATCTTTAGATAAACAGTGAAGAAGGTAAGAAGGAGAAGCCTCTTTGAATAATAATTTCCTTTTAAAAAACCCACCAACATAAAAACAAACAAACAATTCCTCAGAGTTTGAACTTCTCTTAAGAATAGTTCAATGTGAGGTCTTGCACCCTAAACAGTTATATCTGGAAATTTAAAAAAAAATCGCAGCTACACACAACAAAGACTAAGAGTATTTGCTAAAAAATAGTGTGTGTGTGTGTGTGTATATATATATTTATATATATATATCTTTTTTGTAGAGATTTTTTGTTTTTGTGATTTTTTTCTTTTCCTTTTTTTTTTTTTTTTTTTTTTTGGTGCCCAAGTAGAAATACAATGGGATTGAAACGATGTCCTAGAACAGAATATTCCTTACAGGAGCAATACTTTGAAAAATAACATTTAAAAAATGATTGAACATATTGCAACACCTCTCAAAATTCAATTTGGTACAATGAGAAAAATAATAAATCTTCACCCAAATGACACGGCCTCTAAGACCCAGAATATGCTGCTGGTGTGAGTCTCGCCATCCAGACAGGGGCTCATATTCCAGCACCACCCCCTCCTTCCTGCTCCCCCCTCCCTAGCCCTCTTACACTCCACCTTAGCATACCCAGAGTCTGCCTTAGAGCAGTTTTCCACATTTCTGGCAAGACCTTGCAGCAGACACATACACACAAATATACGTGTGCTGTGGACACACACACACACACACACACACACACACAATTTCCCACTCACCCCAGATGCACCAAGTGAGCTGAATGAGTTTCAGCCAACCACAATGGTGAAAGACAGAAGCACCAAACAGTCTTTGAAATGGGTCAGTTATTCAATTTGACATGGTGGTTTTTTTATATATATATATAATCTAATTTTCCTCTGTGTTAATATTTTTAAAAAACACAAATGAAGAATGAAGAATTCTTTCCAGATCAATTTAAGGCTTCCCACCAAATGGAAACAGAAGAGGCCTTACACAATATCACGTGTGATAAATGTATACCTTTCACGGCCTTAAAAGGACAGACCAAAATCGTTTTTTTGCCAGTCACTGATTAAGTATTGTGCCTTTAAATTGATGTTGTTCTTTTTGCTACTATGCTGAGTTTTATTATTACTGATTTTCTTTGATTAAATAGATGGAAATCTTTAATTTGCTTTAGAATTTCCTGTTCTCATTGAATGATTGGGGTGGGGTTTTTGTTTGTTTGTTTGTTTTATTCTGTTTTGCTTTTCACCAGGAAACAAATGTGATCCGAACTAGGTGAATGGTAAATGGCACAAGATCAACCTTCAAGGAGCTTTCCCAGCCATTTGAGTTCCAAATGGCCATTTGGCTCCTAGAAGGTGCTGTTAATCTGGGGACAGGGACGGGAGAGCAAGGAGTGAAACGGAACAGAAATTGGGGTTTCTATGCCTTTGCTTTTGGTGAATTTGTTTTCTTCAATACAAATAGTCAGATAGGAAGAATAATTGCTTTGTGTTTTATTTGTTGGTTGGTTTTCGTTTTCGTTTCTAGATTTGTTTCATTTGATTGTTTAATTTCCCCTCTCTTGGTGCCAAAACCACCAGAGAGTTTTGCGTGAGAAAAACGTGACAGTACTTAATGAAACTCAGCACCTAAGGGCATAAGGCAGTTGAAGGTTTGTTTGTGTTTGTTTTATTTTGTTTTGTTTCGTTTGTTTTGTTCTTTCAATCAGCACCAATCCCATAAATGATCTACACTTGGTGTAAGGTATAAAACATTTTTTTTTCTTTTGGAGTGGAGACAGCTCCTCCTTCTCCACCCTATGAACAATAGTGTGGGATTTTCAATACTGTTTCTTATGTGTAAAAAACAAAAGAAAGGTCTTCTTTTTGTTTTTACTTACAAAACATAGAGAATATCTTTGTATACATACAGCGACTGGAAAGAAAGCTTATCTGAAGGGGTTGTGACGTATTATTTTCTTTTTTTTGTAGCGGTGGTGGTGGAGGTGGTGATGGTGGTGGTGGTTGTGATTTTGTGTATTGGGAGAAGGGAGGGTTATATTTCTTGCAAGCGGTGTTAACCGCAAACCAACTTAAGGTCCCCTTCTCAACTTGGGTCAAGACGCTCTTAGAGTGAAGACTCATACTGTAGCAACTCATAAAGGAGCGGTCCATCTCGATACCGAATGCCTACCGCGGAGGGGGTGACATACTGCAGAATGTTAATAGTCCTTCTCAACCTCCTGTCTACAAAATGAGCATCCCAAGCTGGGTATCTCTTCCTTGGCATGTCAATCTTAATGAGGGGCCCTTCTGGGTGGTAAGGACGCCCCGACGGGGTGGAGGGCCCCATGGGTCTCACTTGGAAAACGGGCAAGCAAGTGTCAGCCGTGAGATCCTCCTGTTGTTCCGTTACGGCTCTGGTAGGCGTGACCTGGGTCCCCCGGTACCCAGGGGTCTGAGGCGCCATGGGCTCAACATCGGGGGGCAAAGGGATGCCCCAGAGCAGCTCGGCACAACAGGAGCTGGCAAAGATCTTAGCTCGTGGCCCCATGGGATGCAGCACACCATAATATAAGAGCATCAGTGCGATCCCAGCCACAAAGCTAATAAAGACACAACACAGTGCTGGCACCGCATAGAAGTCAGTGGTCTCCGGGTTTCTGTAAAAATACCAAAGGAACGTCAAGGCAGCATTCTCGGTCAAGACTATCGTGTAATATGCAAACATTCGATATCGAGTCCGCCCTTCCTTGACGTTAAACCAGCAGAAAATGTACACAATCCCTACCACCATGTTGAAGAGGATCTCCTCCCACTTGGACATGCAGAAGTCTGTTCCGCCATGGATGATCCAGAAGGCCATGGCGCACCAGTGAACCACCACGAAGATCCCGAAGTAGAGCTGGAAGATGGAAGCAAAGAGGGCAAAAGAGATAACTCTGGATGAGATGGTGAAGAGGCGCCAGAAGAGGTGGATGAGGGCCCCTCTGTAGCTCATACTCTTCTTGTCGTCCCTGGAGTCCCGCAGCAGCTTGTGATAGGAGGCTAGCACCCAAGCCAGGGACATCAGGGAAGTCACAGAGGAGACACCTGCCGGAAAGACACAAACCCACACAGTCAAAACCTTGGATGTCAACTGCAGGGCACAGCAGGGCTGCCAGCTGAGGAGACGCCCACACACACCGAGATCTAAAGGAGGAGGGAGAAAGAAACACAGAATCAGGAACCGAACTTGGAGGTCACAGCTGCTCCCTAAGCTGTCAGCTTTTGAAAATCTAGTTTCAGTTTCCACAACCCAGCCCAGAACTCCTGGAGATTCACTGCTCAAGAGTGAAGCTGAGGCTGACGTGCTTTGCCAAGGGGGTTGAGAACGGGGGCCACTGTGGTGCCTCATTGCATCTGCTGTGATGGGACCACATGTGTTCTATTTTAAGGAATTCCGAGTTCACGGGATCCTTGTTGCACACAGATGTGTGGCAGGGGATGGTGTCCTTGTCACCAGGAGCCCATGCTCTCAGAGAAACTCATAGAGGGGATCACCCATTGTGAAGGCTGATAGCTTACTCTCTGCCCCTAGATCCACACCCTTCTCCTGCGGGAAGGTACTGGAGTCACTCTTTTGCCTTTTCATCAGTTCACTCAGGCCTCAAGGAGCCCTTCACTAAACCTTCCTCCACCTAGCTTCTCCCTCCCTCATCCGCTCCCTAAGGACACCCTGATCAAGGACTCTGGGGTAGTCTGTCTGTTTCGCTGGCTGCCTTTCTCACTCATTCTTCTCTCTTGGCCTCCCCACGATCCTTGTTGCTTTCTCCAACAAACCACTGCTGCATGTTCTCTGAGATCTTACGAGGCCCCGTCCTGACCCAGCAGCGGTAAAACTCATGGTATGAGGATGCCTTTCCCCCACCAGCTTGGTTTCCAAGGCTCTGCATGGCATTCACTGCATTTCTCCTCAACAGGCAAGTGAATGTATCTGATCTCAAGTGATACTGGAATCACCAAGGGCAATTTTATTTATAATACTGCTTATTTGATATGAGTAACTAAATCAAACTACACACAATAAATAGTTAATAGAGTTTCTCCAGACCCACCCATGAGCAAGCAATCGTTGGTCAGATATAATCATACAATCTCCTCTTAAGCAAGATACCCCATCACCACCTGACTCCCGCATGTGTTATCTTCACTCAGTCCATCTAGCATCTCTTCTGCTTTTCCTTTCTCCCAACATTTCAAAACTAAATGCAGCCAAACTCAACTGAGGTCCTGAATAGTGTTCCACAGACAACATCTACTTACCACATTCCCCACCCTTGCACCAGAGCATAATTCCCCACAACATTCTTCCAAGCTGAAATCAATGTTTCCTAGTCATTTTCTCTTAAGCTCAAAGGTCAGATCTAGGAGCCCATTCATCAAAAGACTAAGTAAACTGCCCCAGAGCATCAGGCTTCTGTTCATCTTCCCCAGGTCCCTGCCCATCTCTCCATTCATCTCCAAACCTCAATGAAGAATCAAAATCCTCTGTCATTTTACACCCTCCCTGCACTGACCCATCTCACACAGCCCTACCCTTCCAACATTTCAAGGAGATGCTCTGGTTTGCAGCTTGCAGAACAGGATAGGGTGAAAACAAAAACCAGTATGTTACTATAACCACAGAAAAATCCTGGATGGTTAAGTTCTCCATAGAAGCCAATCTTGAAAACGCCTAATGACTTTCCTCTTAGTTTTCTGGAAAGTTCTGAACAGGGTACTTAGGTGTCCTGCCTTGCCCTTTGTACACACAAGGCATTTCCACAGCATCTGGTGAGGGCATGGGTGCTCTGCAACCATGTCACAGTGGTTACGCTAACCTTTGAGCCTCCTCTGTTCATGTTGTCTGTTGGATTGGGGCAGAGAGGGAAATAGGTCCCCTTATGAGTCACATGATTTGGGCTGTAGGTTTCTGGAAGGCAGGGATTTGCAATTATCTTGATAGTCTATACTAGGCTTATTACCAACACTGGAGCATCCTTGGAGAGTCCCTTTTAAATGTCTCTGTGACGTCACCCCTCTCTTTGTGAACTCATTTCTTGATGTGGATAATGATATGTCTCAGAGGTACTACTAACCCTTAGTAATCAGAGGGAAATTCTACCAAAGCTGACTGGGAAGACAGCCATCTACGAGCCAAGGTGAGAGGCCTCAGGAGAAACCAACCCTGCCAACACCTTGATTTTGGACTTCCAGTCTTTAGAACTGTGAGAAAATAAATATCTGGTGTTTTAGCCACCCAGCCTGTGGTATTTTGTTACAGCAGCCCTGGCAAACTAATACAGTGCTCTAATCCCATTTTTTATATGAAGAAACAAGATGATTTTCAAAAAGTATACATCTGTTAAGAAGTTGAATTGGGATTCAAATTCAGAGTCTGACTCCAGTGGCCTTGAAAGTCACCACTGTACTAACGGGCCCTGCAGGCATTGCCTTGGAAGGGTCTGGGTGAGGGGAGAGGAAAGAAAGTCTGGGCACACTGGGTGCAGAGGGTTTGAATCTTTTAAACTCAGCACCTAAGGGCATAAGGCAGTTGAAGGTTTGTTTGTTTGTTTGTTTGTGTTTGTTTTATTTTGTTTTGTTTCGTTTGTTTTGTTCTTTCAATCAGCACCAATCCCATAAATGATCTACACTTGGTGTAAGGTATAAAACATTTTTTTTTCTTTTGGAGTGGAGACAGCTCCTCCTTCTCCACCCTATGAACAATAGTGTGGGATTTTCAATACTGTTTCTTATGTGTAAAAAACAAAAGAAAGGTCTTCTTTTTGTTTTTACTTACAAAACATAGAGAATATCTTTGTATACATACAGCGACTGGAAAGAAAGCTTATCTGAAGGGGTTGTGACGTATTATTTTCTTTTTTTTGTAGCGGTGGTGGTGGAGGTGGTGATGGTGGTGGTGGTTGTGATTTTGTGTATTGGGAGAAGGGAGGGTTATATTTCTTGCAAGCGGTGTTAACCGCAAACCAACTTAAGGTCCCCTTCTCAACTTGGGTCAAGACGCTCTTAGAGTGAAGACTCATACTGTAGCAACTCATAAAGGAGCGGTCCATCTCGATACCGAATGCCTACCGCGGAGGGGGTGACATACTGCAGAATGTTAATAGTCCTTCTCAACCTCCTGTCTACAAAATGAGCATCCCAAGCTGGGTATCTCTTCCTTGGCATGTCAATCTTAATGAGGGGCCCTTCTGGGTGGTAAGGACGCCCCGACGGGGTGGAGGGCCCCATGGGTCTCACTTGGAAAACGGGCAAGCAAGTGTCAGCCGTGAGATCCTCCTGTTGTTCCGTTACGGCTCTGGTAGGCGTGACCTGGGTCCCCCGGTACCCAGGGGTCTGAGGCGCCATGGGCTCAACATCGGGGGGCAAAGGGATGCCCCAGAGCAGCTCGGCACAACAGGAGCTGGCAAAGATCTTAGCTCGTGGCCCCATGGGATGCAGCACACCATAATATAAGAGCATCAGTGCGATCCCAGCCACAAAGCTAATAAAGACACAACACAGTGCTGGCACCGCATAGAAGTCAGTGGTCTCCGGGTTTCTGTAAAAATACCAAAGGAACGTCAAGGCAGCATTCTCGGTCAAGACTATCGTGTAATATGCAAACATTCGATATCGAGTCCGCCCTTCCTTGACGTTAAACCAGCAGAAAATGTACACAATCCCTACCACCATGTTGAAGAGGATCTCCTCCCACTTGGACATGCAGAAGTCTGTTCCGCCATGGATGATCCAGAAGGCCATGGCGCACCAGTGAACCACCACGAAGATCCCGAAGTAGAGCTGGAAGATGGAAGCAAAGAGGGCAAAAGAGATAACTCTGGATGAGATGGTGAAGAGGCGCCAGAAGAGGTGGATGAGGGCCCCTCTGTAGCTCATACTCTTCTTGTCGTCCCTGGAGTCCCGCAGCAGCTTGTGATAGGAGGCTAGCACCCAAGCCAGGGACATCAGGGAAGTCACAGAGGAGACACCTGCCGGAAAGACACAAACCCACACAGTCAAAACCTTGGATGTCAACTGCAGGGCACAGCAGGGCTGCCAGCTGAGGAGACGCCCACACACACCGAGATCTAAAGGAGGAGGGAGAAAGAAACACAGAATCAGGAACCGAACTTGGAGGTCACAGCTGCTCCCTAAGCTGACAGCTTTTGAAAATCTAGTTTCAGTTTCCACAACCCAGCCCAGAACTCCTGGAGATTCACTGCTCAAGAGTGAAGCTGAGGCTGACGTGCTTTGCCAAGGGGGTTGAGAACGGGGGCCACTGTGGTGCCTCATTGCATCTGCTGTGATGGGACCACATGTGTTCTATTTTAAGGAATTCCGAGTTCACGGGATCCTTGTTGCACACAGATGTGTGGCAGGGGATGGTGTCCTTGTCACCAGGAGCCCATGCTCTCAGAGAAACTCATAGAGGGGATCACCCATTGTGAAGGCTGATAGCTTACTCTCTGCCCCTAGATCCACACCCTTCTCCTGCGGGAAGGTACTGGAGTCACTCTTTTGCCTTTTCATCAGTTCACTCAGGCCTCAAGGAGCCCTTCACTAAACCTTCCTCCACCTAGCTTCTCCCTCCCTCATCCGCTCCCTAAGGACACCCTGATCAAGGACTCTGGGGTAGTCTGTCTGTTTCGCTGGCTGCCTTTCTCACTCATTCTTCTCTCTTGGCCTCCCCACGATCCTTGTTGCTTTCTCCAACAAACCACTGCTGCATGTTCTCTGAGATCTTACGAGGCCCCGTCCTGACCCAGCAGCGGTAAAACTCATGGTATGAGGATGCCTTTCCCCCACCAGCTTGGTTTCCAAGGCTCTGCATGGCATTCACTGCATTTCTCCTCAACAGGCAAGTGAATGTATCTGATCTCAAGTGATACTGGAATCACCAAGGGCAATTTTATTTATAATACTGCTTATTTGATATGAGTAACTAAATCAAACTACACACAATAAATAGTTAATAGAGTTTCTCCAGACCCACCCATGAGCAAGCAATCGTTGGTCAGATATAATCATACAATCTCCTCTTAAGCAAGATACCCCATCACCACCTGACTCCCGCATGTGTTATCTTCACTCAGTCCATCTAGCATCTCTTCTGCTTTTCCTTTCTCCCAACATTTCAAAACTAAATGCAGCCAAACTCAACTGAGGTCCTGAATAGTGTTCCACAGACAACATCTACTTACCACATTCCCCACCCTCGCACCAGAGCATAATTCCCCACAACATTCTTTCAAGCTGAAATCAATGTTTCCTAGTCATTTTCTCTTAAGCTCAAAGGTCAGATCTAGGAGCCCATTCATCAAAAGACTAAGTAAACTGCCCCAGAGCATCAGGCTTCTGTTCATCTTCCCCAGGTCCCTGCCCATCTCTCCATTCATCTCCAAACCTCAATGAAGAATCAAAATCCTCTGTCATTTTACACCCTCCCTGCACTGACCCATCTCACACAGCCCAGCCTTCCAACATTTCAAGGAGATGTTCTGGTTTGCAGCTTGCAGAACAGGATAGGGTGAAAACAAAAACCAGTATGTTACTATAACCACAGAAAAATCCTGGATGGTTAAGTTCTCCATAGAAGCCAATCTTGAAAACGCCTAATGACTTTCCTCTTAGTTTTCTGGAAAGTTCTGAACAGGGTACTTAGGTGTCCTGCCTTGCCCTTTGTACACACAAGGCATTTCCACAGCATCTGGTGAGGACATGGGTGCTCTGCAACCATGTCACAGTGGTTACGCTAACCTTTGAGCCTCCTCTGTTCATGTTGTCTGTTGGATTGGGGCAGAGAGGGAAATAGGTCCCCTTATGAGTCACATGATTTGGGCTGTAGGTTTCTGGAAGGCAGGGATTTGCAATCATCTTGATAGTCTATACTAGGCTTATTACCAACACTGGAGCATCCTTGGAGAGTCCCTTTTAAACGTCTCTGTGACGTCACCCCTCTCTTTGTGAACTCATTTCTTGATGTGGATAATGATATGTCTCAGAGGTACTACTAACCCTTAGTAATCAGAGGGAAATTCTACCAAAGCTGACTGGGAAGACAGCCATCTACGAGCCAAGGTGAGAGGCCTCAGGAGAAACCAACCCTGCCAACACCTTGATTTTGGACTTCCAGTCTTTAGAACTGTGAGAAAATAAATATCTGGTGTTTTAGCCACCCAGCCTGTGGTATTTTGTTACAGCAGCCCTGGCAAACTAATACAGTGCTCTAATCCCATTTTTTATATGAAGAAACAAGATGATTTTCAAAAAGTATTCATCTGTTAAGAAGTTGAATTGGGATTCAAATTCAGAGTCTGACTCCAGTGGCCTTGAAAGTCACCACTGTACTAACGGGCCCTGCAGGCATTGCCTTGGAAGGGTCTGGGTGAGGGGAGAGGAAAGAAAGTCTGGGCACACTGGGTGCAGAGGGTTTGAATCTTTTACCAAGAGTGGACAAGAAGTACAGTACCCATGGCTATCTGATAGAAGCCCTTGATTATGGAACTAAAAACCAAATTTTAATTCTATTCTACTTTCTTCAGTGGAGTAACATTCAAGCCACAAAGAAAGAGGTGATGCCAACAGAATTAACTGAGATCACTTTCCCTCTGTTAAGTGATTAATCTTCCAAGGCCTGCAGTGTATTCCACTACAGAGGGAGGAAGTGTGGGATTTTCCCTCTCTGCAGTGGCTCACTTGGAAGCTTTCTGTCTTGCCTGAGGTCAACCCAGAAGTCAATGCGTTACCCTGGCCAAGACCCAAGTTCACGGGAACCCGCTGTGGAAGCAGCCCGGTGGCCCCGTGGCCCCAGTGAAATTCTTGGATGGGCCTGGGAGCATTTATGATTTGCTTCTAGCTACAGCTCGATCACTTTCTGCATTCCAAAGATCAGGCTGGAAATTGTTAAACACTTCACGTTTGACTGTGACAAGTTCTGGGCAGTGACCTTCATGGCTTGCTCACTTTTCCTGGTGCAGACCAGGAGGTGGGGCTTGCAGCTGGCCCACTGAGCTGACCGAGTCCAGCCCAGGCAGCTAGGAGTCACTACGCTGGAGCCTCCTGGGGGGCCACTCCCCTGAGAAAGGCTTGGGAGAGGAACCTTCAGGCTCTGATCAACGAACCTAGGATCTAAGGTTTCCAGGAATGGAAGGACCACAACTATAACCAACAGAACAGAGCAGAAGGGGCCACACCATGCAGTTGGATACCCCTTACTGAAGAGGGGTAGCCATCAGGGAAGGCCCAATTTGGTGGTGACATTGCAATATCCAAGGGTCACTGTCAGTTAAACTGTTGCCAATTGGGAAACAAAGCAAAAAAGTGTGAGTGTGGCTGTCCCATCATGTGAGAAGCACAGAGACAGGTTATCTGAGAAAGGACGGGACTCTAAAATCAGAGGGTAGGGACAGATAATGTGAAAGACCCGGAGGCTATGATGCAGTGGGAGGGCTCAGAGACAGTAGGAGGGCCCAGCCTTCAGGGTGACATAGGGAGGCTGAGGTTTGGGAAGTAGAAGGCAGGGCCATGGCTCAGAATGGGTCAGGGCTGCATTGAGGGGCCAGTGTATGGGAGCCCCGAAGCACCACCAGAAAGGGGACTGGGAAAAGAAACCAAAATACTAGAGCATCTCAGAGGGAGACCACAGCATGTGATTTGAGGAGTGCTCTGAGAAGCCACAGGAGTATCCACAGATGACTATGAGACTGCTTCTGAGTGAAAGTGGATGGGGTCCATGGCAGGACTCTGTTTTGCAGAATGGGATGTGCCCACCTAGATCTGTCATCAGCTGCCCTCTTCTACCCTCTGCCACAAAGTGCTCAGTCCCTCCACTAAATCACATGTTGGGAAAACACTTAAGGAAGAGGGATTGGATAGACGCTAAGCACAGGTAGGGCAGGGGTGGGAAGAGCCAGCTGTGCAGGGACCCACAGCTCCCTCTCCCTGGCTTCTTCCCATCACATAGTCACGTTCCTCCCATTTTACAAAGAGTAGCTCCCTGGACCTTGCATCCTCTCCCAGTGAAACCCCACCTCTCTTTGTCTCTTCTCCTCCAACCTTCTCAAAAGTGATGTTCTTGCTCCCTTCACTCTCTTGGAGAGTTCTCATTGAGGTGGTCAACCAATTCCCAAGTGCAGCATTAAGAGGATTGGTTCAGTGCACTCCTAACTCTGTGTAACATTTGGCATTTGGACCCTGCTCTGTCCTTCAAACTTGACCATTAGCTATCCCCCAGTCTGGCATCCTCCCCCTGCTGGGCTATTATCCCCATTTCACAGATGAGGAAACTGAACTTGAATGTGGCCACAGCTATGTTCTGACATTGCATGCTCACCTAATTTGTAGGGTGTTGGACCCTACTGGGTTGGTCCCCTAGAGATTCCCCAAACCAAGAAACATGGCTATTTGTCTGCCTGCAGGTCAAGGTCAGCATGTCCCTCTCTCAACCATCGCCTCTTCCCTCCCTACCACTGAAGCTAACGTTAGGGGGAAACTCTACCATCTGCTTTTCAAATTCCCATTGTTTATTTCCCCACACTGAGTTCCTTTAATTTGGGCAGTTCTTCCCTTCCACCTGTCAACTTCCCCCTATCTTGCTACATTTTTTAAAAAGCCCAGTCTCTTCTTGGAAATGCTCCCAGAAAAAAGATAACACAGCTGTGTGCATGGCTCTTTAAGCAACACCGTCTGTCTCCTGTCCTCACCTCCACCCAGGCACACAGCAAGGGGTGATGGCATAAAGGTACTTTACTAAGCAGGAAACCAGGGGGAAAGAAACAAGCCTCATGGATGCCATCTATGAGCCAGGATCAAAGACTCAAGTAACTTGACCAAGGTTACATAGGTAAGTAAGCAAGAACGCTGATGCTGCAACCTGGGGTTACCTCACTCCCCAGACAGGATCACGGTGCGGAGGCTGGCTCTTCCTGGCTTGTGAGGTCCAATTGTTACATTTGCAGGAATTTTGTGGGCTATTTGATGTCATGTTGGAGACTTAAAATAAATGTGGTGGCCGTATTTATACCAAAGAAATTGGCAAGTGCTACAAAAGCAGGATTCCCCCAATTCTGCTAAGAGCCAGTTGTTAAACATTTACCAGCAAAAACCAACTCTCCTTTCTGAGAAGTTTGGTGGGCATCATTGCAAATTAGAAGAGCCCCATAAGGTTCTCCTTCATGCCAAGACCAACTCTCCTTTCTGAGAAGCTTGGTGGGCATCATTGCAAATTAGAAGAGCCCCATAAGGTGCTGCTTCATGCCAGCACAGTACTTCTGGGCAAACCAATGCTGTCTGTTAGAATCATAGTCTGTCAGTCTAAGTAACAGCAACAAAGAAACCAATCTCTTTAAAACTTTCACTGAAAATATGCTCCCAGTAACTAAGGTCTAAGGCAGGGATTTTCAACCAGTGTGCCGTGGCACATGGGTGTACCACAAGAATTTTTTAAACACACAATACCTGACTATTTAGTCAGGACCGACCTCCTTTCCCTTAGATTGTCAAATGAAAAAAAAATGACAACAGCCAACACAACAATAGCCATCCAGTGTGAATGAATCAAAATTACACCTATTCGTTTTGTCAGATCGGCAAAAAAGATATTTTTTGGTGTGCTGCAAAATGTTAGTAATTAGTTTGTGTGCCATGAGATGAAAAAGTTGGAAAATCGCTGTTCTAGGGTGGTTTTTTTTTGAGCATAGTCTTTTCTAAGTACTGACATACCCATTTTCATCACAATTTTGTATTTGAATAGGATGTGATCCCCACATCACTCTGGAGGGACTACCCCTCCCAGGGTTTACAAATTGATAGAAATAGCCAGCCACTGGTGCCTTTCCCCTGCGAACAAATCCATCCGGAGCCTGCACCCCTAATCACTTCCTTTATTGGGTTCTGACCCTCCCAGGCCACCAGCCTTCTGCTCTAGTCACCCCAGGCCCGGGTGCCAGACAGCCCAGGGCCCCAGGGCCCCAGAGCCCCTCAAACGCTTTGAACTAGCCCATCCTACGCCTGCTTCCACTGCCCTGCCCATTCCTTCCCACAGAAACCACAATAAAGACTCATGCTCACATTTCTCCCTCCCTCACTGGTGCCTTTCCCCTGCAAACAAATCCATCCAGAGCCTGCACCCCCAACCACCTCCTTTATTGGGCTCTGACCCTCCCAGGCCACCAGCCTCCTGCTCTAGTCACCCCAGGCCCGGGTACCAGACAGCCCAGTGCCCCAGGGCCCCAGAGCCTCTCAAACTATTTGAACTAGCCCATCCTACACCTGCTTCCACTGCCCTGACCATTCCTTCCCACGGAACCACAATAAAGACTCATGCTCACATTTCTCCCTCCCTCCCTCTGCCTCCTGATGGACCCTCGCTTCCCCATGTGATGGACAATAGGAAGGTATGCAGCTTCAAGGTCAAACACCAGTACTTAAAGGACCCAGCAGGAAGAAAGCTAAATTCAGCCCCTGCTTCACTATCTCTTCTCTCTAAGATGCTGTCAGAGCTATCAAAATGCCATCTTCACAGCGGGCTGGGTAAAGGCACACTTCAGAGATCCTAGAACAAATGTCAGCCACTCAGCTGGCATGGCACGAGCCTCGTGGATGCTGGGTCCTGGCTGGCCTGGAACACACCAACAAGGCTGTTTTCCATCCCTAGAATGTTCCAACAAACCCATTCTCATGTTACAGCAAATGGCTGACCGAGTTCAATGCTCTGATGTTCCCAGAGTGACTACATTTTAACAGAGGCTGTGAGACACCCTGGAAAGGACATGGGCTCTGATACAAACAGACCTGCCTTAGCTTATTGTTTGTGAACCATGGGTAAATGTGGATTTGGAGGATTTGATGAACTGTGAATGTAAAGCATAAAGGCACATCTTTGAAACATATACATACTATACTACATATAAAATATACAAATATATATAGAGAGAAAGAATATGTATAGTGTACATACACATATTGATCACACACTGCTTAACAATAGGGGTGCATTCTGAGAAAGAGGATCTTGTCATTGTGTGAACATCAGAGAGTGCACTTACACAAACCTACATGGTCTAGCCCACTACACACCTAGGCTATATGGTAAAGCCTGTTGCTCCTAGGCTTCAAGCCTGTACAGCGTGTTACTGTACAAAACAACAAGACAAAAAATCAAGCACAAGAGAAAATGATGCAATCAATGACGCGGTAGACACAGGATGTATGAGGCTGCTGCCAGTGTAACATGCCATATGGTTGTACAGCAAACCTTTTTTATAAGTAGAAAGAGAACACTCTAAAATAATAATAAAAAGTATTGTGCAGTAAATACATAAGCCAGTAACATAGCCACTTATTATCATCATCAATATAGTAGTGGCCCGGTGCACAAAATTCATGCACTGGGGGGGGGGCCTGTGCGCTGTCACAGTGCAGGAGCCCCGCGATCCATCACCCCAAAGAGGTAGGCCCCGCCCACCCATCTGGGGCTCCTCGATGGATTGCCCCAAAGATGTAGGCCGGAACCGGGGGTCCTGCCTCTGCGCCGCGTGGAGCCGAGGGACCCCCAGGCCTTGCTGCATGGAGGCCTCCGTCGGGCCCCAGCCCCTCTCCGATGCTGCAAGTCCCCACCTACCTACGCCTGCTGCGCACGCAGCCTCCTGCTGCTCGGTCATTACGTGTGACGGCATCCTGACTATTTGTATATTACCCTCTTATTGGTAGAGATGTCCTATACATAACCGTATGTGTTACTTTTATATGACTGGAAGCGCAATGGGTTTTCTTACACCAGGATCACCACAAACACAGAAGCTATGCTACAATGTTATGACAGTTAGGATGTCACGAGGTGATAGCCATTTTCAGGTCCATTATAATTTTATTGGACCACCATCTTATATGTGCACTGTCTGTTGACCAAAACATCATTATGTGGCACATGACTATAATATTCATACACAGTATGCTCTAGTTCCAGAGATGTGGCTAATGTTATACTAGTATTCTCTGTCCCTCCTCCGGGCCACTATACTATACAATATTATATATGTATTTACAAATATAGGGTATCCCAAAAAATGTATACACACACTTTGAATAGTTATAAAGGCAGTGTTTATTAAAATATATTTCATTTTTGAAATGGAGCTATCAGCTATTAAAATGTGTATACCTTTTTGGGGGGGACACCCTGTATGTATATACATACATACAATATGTATCTATATACTCACACTCTCTCTATATATATAATATAAATAACTCAATTATATTTGAATTGGTATCACTTATTGTTTACTAAAATGTTGGCCCCAGAGGGCAGAGGCCCCACCTGCCCCGTTCATCGCTGTGCCCTCAAAGGCTGGTTCAGAGCCTGATGCACGGCAGGTGCTCAATGCAGATGCATTTGATTTGTGTAATGCTTTATCATTGACCATCAGACTTATACAGAATATTTTGTTTCAACAAAAGCCTACCCTAAATGATTCCCTCATGAAATTGTGCACTTCCCTGAGGGGAGCAGGCCTATGGCCAAGGCCAGGAGAGCTCCCAGCTCCACCCCACCTGCAGGCCCTTGTGTAAGTATGTTTGTAGGAAGAGGAGGCACCTGCTGGGAGTCTAAGATTCTGCAAATGGAGTGGACTGAGATCAGGCCTCTCAAGGCAAAGAGCAAAGGTCACTGCAGCCCCCTCTTCCTGTCGCCTGACCTGTCAGAAATGTGATAGGGGAGGGGCGGGCTGCAGGCTTTGTGTGGGAGGCAACTCAGAAAGTTGTAGTCATTAGAAGCTGAGAGATCTTTTTAAAAGGCTGGAGTCAGGCTTGTCCTGTCTCCCACGGTGTGAGAGATGACGTGGCCATCAAAACTCCTGAAATTCTCCCAGCCGCACTGGTTTGGGGTTGCTTTACCTGGAGCCACTGAGTCCCTGAGGGTGACAGCCCTGGGTTAACCGAAACCATCATCTTCACGGTGGACGGTGTGGCCTCACTGCCTCTACTCACAGCCCAGCGGTGCCAGCTGTGCTCTGGACAGGGCGGCACCACTGTTCAGCAACGTGGCAGCTCAGGTGAGCAGCCTGGTGGAAGGAGGCAGGACTGCTGAGCAGGTGAGGTTGGCACGGACTGTGTGGGGGCTGACCTGGAAGTGGTCCTTGCCCCCTTAGCCTGAATTCTGCGGGCTGGGTGGCCCTGGATGAGAAAAGCCCACCAGGTAAAATGACTTCACCAAACCAGATCCTTACTGAGGATGCTGGGCAACGCGTGCCTTTGACAGCTGAGAGTGAAATGCGAACCACCATAACCGAGTGCCTCTTTGTGCCAAGGACAAATGCATTTCACTTACTCTTCACAAAACCCTTCTGAGGCAGGAGTAACCAGCTGTGGTTTACAACTGAGAAGACCTGAGGCTCCAGGAGGTTAAGGGCCTTGTCTGAGCGCAGTGGATGCAGCAACGAAGTGCAGAGCGGGGTGTGAGGCCAGGTGGGCCTCACCTGGAGCTGTCCACACCACAGCACAGGAGGCAGCACCTTTTCTTCCAGGCGACGGTCTCAGGAGAGTAAGAAAGGTGAGGGGTGAAGGACCTGTTGGGGCCCCAGCAGTGGCAGAAGTGGTGATGGGCCCCACGCTGGGCAGATTTTACAGCTTAACTCCAGGGTCTGGCCGCGGCGGGCACGTGGGATCTGGACGTGCAAGGCGGCCTGGAAATAATACAGGACTCAGCTCTCTTCGGGTCAGTGACAGACCCAGCCTTTACCTCTGGTTTCAGGGGAGTGGATGCCACACCCCTAGAACTCCTCTTGTCCTGACCAACCGAGCACCTCCAATTGGTCCAGAAGTGATTGGGCCCAGAAGTAATCGGATCCTGGGGCATAAGTTTCATGGGGTGAAAAGTTGAGGTTCAGAAAGGGTGGCTCACCCATAGTCACCCAGAAGTGGAACAGCCTACAGGGCCTCACCCCCAGGCATCCTTCTCAGGTACGCTTCTCTCCCACTCTCTCCCCAGACCCAGAGATGGGTGACGTGAGAAGACATCATTTGTGAACCATGTGGCCTTTCTTTCCTTGGACATCTTAAGGAATAGAGAAGATCTTTCGAAGACCATTTCATTGCAGTTTTTCCTGGAGCTCGAAGTTCCCATGAGGCTTAGAGTTCGTGGTTGTCTCTGACACGAACATCCAACCTAATAATTAAAGATCGCTGCTGCCCAGATTTCACTGAGATTTCCCCACTTTTCTCTTAGGGTCATTGTTTGCCTGAAAGGGGCTTCAGGAGTTCCTCCTGCCCTCACTCACCTGTACAGGCCTAGAGAAGATGGGATTCGAGAGGTTTGCCCAGCATCCCTCCCCACTCTCTAGCACAGCGCTCCTACAGCCACCAGCTCCCTGTGTGGGAAAGTAGGGGCAGAGCTCACAGGAGAGCAGTTCTGCAGGATGAGGTGTCTTCGTGGGACAATGAAGATGTTCTCAGATTGATTGTAGTAACGATACAATTGTGTGAATATCCTAAAAGCCACTGAATTGTATACTTTACATGGGTGAATTGTACAGTATGAAAATTGCTTTTCAATAAAGCTGTTTAAATATTTAGAAGAAGAAGAAGGAGGAGGAGGAGGAGGAGGAGGGGGGGGAGGAGGGGGAAGAGGAGGAGGAAAGTGGCTCTGCTGGCAAGACCCCCGGGCAGGCGGGGCTAAGCTATAGAAGTGCCCAGGGACACTCAGCTCAGCCTCCCTGCTGCTCCTCAAACACTGAGAAACTCTTAGCTCAGGCCTTGCCCTTGGCTCTTACCTCTTCCTGGCACACTCTCCTCCAGAAATCTGTGGGGCTGGCTCCCTCCCATCTTCACATCTTTGCTCAGAGTTCACCTCTGGGAAACCGTCCCTGGCCTCCCTATTGAAAGCCGGGCACAGCTCTGCACCCTCCCACCCCTCTTCCCAGCTTCATTGTCCCCTGAGTGCTGGGTCATTTTCTACGACAGGTGTTCCCCAATTTCCCAAAGCTGGCATTGCGCCCCTTTGCTTTTATGAAAGACCTACATTAGTACCTGTTTCTGCTAACGGAAAGAAATTGGAAGAGGACTTTCATTTTCACACCAAAAAAAAAAAAAGGTGAAAAGCAAAAACAGCGTTCAGTGTTGGTTTTGCCCAGCCGTAGTGAGGCAGTGTGCACCCAGACAGCGAGAGTGGCCCCGCCAAGCTTCTTCCCGGGCACACACAGCCTCTCTGCCTCTCAGCATTCAGCCCACAGCTCTGAATGGTGTCTGTGAGCATCTGAGCTGTAGCTCAATTTATTTTGTGCATCCGTTAGCAAGATGGGACCTAAGGGACCAGAAAAGCCTAACAGAGCTCGAAAGGGTGTTATACTTAGTGCAGAACTGGATGGAATTAAGGGTGTCAGTGGTGGCGAACGAGATAGACACAGTGTGTGTGTGTGTGTGTGTGTGTGTGTGTGTGTGTGTGTGTGTGTGTGTTGAACTTGCCCGCCATTCGTACTATTTGCACGCAGAGAGAAAGGACCTTGAAAGCTGCCACAGTTACTATTGGTTCTGCTGGTGGCAAAGCGGTCTCTTTGAGTGCGCACCCAGCAATGCGTGCAATGGAAGGTGTCGCCTGAGTGGGTCTACAGTGTGGTGCTCTGCTACCTGGGGATGCTCAAAACTCTCCCGTGGAAACGAGTGGTAATGGCTTCTCCACTTTACGCCATTCAGCTTATGAACGTTTTATAGAAACATTGGACTTTGGGATAGCAGGGGAAACCTGTATATAAAATAAAATATTTGTTTTATATTCTGGGCACATGATAGGTGCCTAATAAATAGTTATTGAATAAACAAAGGAATGGCCCAATTACAGTTAATGCGCAGGCTCTGGCCTTGCAGATCTCAGCGCCTCCCCCAAAGGTTGTGTGGCCAGCCCGTGCAGGCGCAGGAAGCCTGCCTAGGTGTCCCTCTTTGTTCCAGCATTTTACGCACAAACATTTTCAGGTGAACAATTGCTGTTTCGTCTGCGTTAACTGTCATGAAATCGATTTAGTTCGTCCTTCCCATAGTTTTTTCTGCAGCTCTAAGGACTCTCCCTTGTATAAGTACATACTACAGTTTCTTTTGCACTTAAACACTTGTTAAGAGGGCAGATCTCATGTGAAGTGTTCTTACCACAGTTTAAAAGAAAAAGAATCCTCCTTCTCTTTTTCTCTTACCAGTTGTTAGGGGCAACCTCCGATGAAAGGCCCCAGAATTACAAGCAGATTCAGGCTTGATTGACGTCATGAAGGGCTTTATTTAGGTCTCTCTCTAAAATCCTTGCAAAATTCTGCCTAAACATGTAAGGTGTGAATGTCGTGTTCAAGAGAAGCCACTGGTAGCGGAAGCAGGGCTGTGAGTGGGAGCCGGCTGCGGAGGGCCCCATGTGCACACCCAAGCAGACGTCTCACTGGAGAGCAGAAGGGCTGTCTCCTCGAAGGAAGAGGAACACAGAGCTGGAGAGAGGCCATGCCCGGGAGGCGGGGGAGGCGGCAGAGGCCAGGCCTACTCTGTGAGCTGGCCGGAGGAGGCAGGCGTGTCTTTGTGTGTATCTCATCATTTCAGTTTTGGGTAAAGATGCAAGACAGCCAGGAGAAGGGGGTGAACGGGGGATTGCCCATCCTGTCCTTCATTTATCTCTTCCTGGCCAAGACACAGGCATGTGCTGAGCAGTTTGGAAGTTGAGATCAAAGACTGGGAGATCTTTGTACCGATTTGGTCTGAAACCCCACGTAGGTCTCCAAGGTGGGCAACCCCAGCTCAGCAGGGGCGAGGTCGGGAGAAGGGCTCTGCTCCTCTAGGGTCCCATCAAGCCGTGGCCGACACTGGGAAGGGATGGGGATAAGAAACGCCCGATAAGTCTAGACAAGTTGATGAGGTCGTTGGATGCAGTGGGTTGGTCAATTTAATAACACAGCTTACTTCTTGGTCAGGAGGAAACAGTGGGGAATCCATGGCTCTCATGTAGAGCACAGATCTGTCACCTTCGGGCCACACAACCAGATCACCATCGCTTTCTGGGTGGCAGCTCCACCTCATTGTCACCCAAATCCTAAATGATCAACTGTCCCAGACTTATAGGGTGACAGCTAATGTCCACAGGGGAAAGACACAGAAAGCATCTTTTCACATAAGAAAAAAAGCTCCCAGGAGGAGAGATGAGGAAGTCTCCCTTTGCAGGGAGAAGGTGGGGAGGGCAGTGTAACTGAGCCAACAGCAAAGACGCAGCCCCTGGGCCTTCCCTGCTCCCGAGGGCTAGAACCAGAAGGCTGTGCTCTGCACATGGAAACCTGATCAGGGGACTAAAGTGGGGTGGAGGCTTCCCATGGGATGCGGGAGGCCTTTCAT